CTTCCCTCACATTTTGTACTCGTTTGACACCTTAGTGCAATTCTCGCTACTTTGATTCATTGCACCCGTAACACACGATCATGTGTGTGAGCTTCTGCTGTAAACGCGAAAAAAGGCGCCCAGGGCCCAGCCGTTTGTTCCGTGTCCTCGACGCTGGGGCCGTGGACCTGGCTGGTGATGGCACCGACATTGAAACGATGGCCCGATGAACCGACAGCAAAAGGACCCGATGAAACGATGGCTGATGGAGAGAGCAGCGGGGATGCCACTAGGATGGTCAACGCCATTAGCACATCGGTCGGCCCTGAGAGTGTGGACTAAGGGAGGGGAAAAATGGAGAAGGACGGTGATAACCTTCTGGCAGACTCTGCAGTTGAAGGTACAGGCACCGGCGAATCGTTGGGAGTATGCAAATGAGAGACTCTGTTTCAGCAGATACATTTTCTACAGAGGTAAAAGCCCATTCGGGCGACAAAAGGGCTCAGAGTGTTTGCTGGAAATGAAGCTGGGTGACCTGATTCAAGCGGAGTGGGACGGATCATGGAAGGTTAAAGATGTGTGGACCCTGACCAAAGAAACAGGTAGCTCTGTGACGGCGCGGTGGGCGCTGAAGGCATGGAAAGCGGCGCCGGACGAATGGAAAGCGGCACTGCTGGAAAAACTGACAGGCGAAGAGGTGCTAAAAACAACTCGATTTGCCAGCACGCGCTCCTTGGCAGGGAGAGAGATGTACTGGCAACTAATAGCACGTGACGGCGACGAGATTCTTGGCAAATCAGCTGCGGTGGGGAAGAAAGGAGAGGTGCTGCTATCAGACAGGGCTGGTCAGGTGCGGCTTGCGGTACACAGGCTAACCCCGCTGGTGGTGGAAAATGGGGTGCTGATGGGGGAAGCGGGCCTTCCTCTCACACGGCTCAGGACGTCGGTGCTATGTGCGAAGGGCAAAGGCGCTCCTCTGAAAAAGTTGAGAGCGGAGGTGAGAGGGCCAGTCGAACAGCCGAAGCAGCAGAAGAAGTGGGAGCAGGAGTATGGGAAGCCGATTGACTGGAAGGAGTCTATCAGGAAACGGGACACACTGGTCACTCCGGGCAGGGCAAGAGAAGTCATTCTGAGGTTGCACAGTAAGAACCTCCAAGTTGGCGACAGGTTACACTTCATGCGTGATCGCATCAGCTGCCCGCACTGCAAGGAAGATGAAACCCTAGGACACTGTTTGCTGGAGTGCGACAGCATACAACCTGTCATTGGCGCGCTTAAAGGGGCGTTGAAGTAGATGAATCCGACAAGGGAGGTGGAAAGGCTGGAGGACTTTCTGTTTGCCGCAGATGGCACGTCATCTGGCTTCCCTGAAAAGCCGCTGATTGCGGTGGCTTTCCATCAGATATGGCTCGAGCGGTGTGAGGCAGCTTTCCGGCAGGACAAGTTTCAACCGCGGAGAGTCCTCAGGAAGATTGGGGTGAATTTTATGAAACACGTCAGAATCTACAGTACCTACAAGAAACAAGCGACAAAAGAGGAGGCAAGTGGGGCGGGACAATGCTGGCCCCATCTGGCGAGGGACGAGGCTATGCTGTTGAGCCGGATTTTTCAGGACGAGGACACGCTGACGTGGAAGGAGGAGTTCAGATCGGTGTGGGCCAACCCGAGAACTGTCTTTCACCCACCTTAGTTGGTAAAGGAAGGGCGGTGCAGACCTCCTGGTTGCCTGGTCCCCCCCTACAGTTACGACTGTGGATGTACCCACTTTATAAGTGTAATGCATCCTTCAAAAAAAAAAAAAAAAAAAAAACAAGAGGCGACAAAGTCGACCTAGGGTTGCGAAGCTATTTGTCTAGTTGTATACGTTGTATTTGATGTTCAAAAACTAAACAATCTTCATCAAGATTTAACTACAAACTTTTCTGCGGGTTAAATTCGTCTACCAAAATCGATCCTACAACCTTCCGATTCTGATGCCAAACTCGAACCATTGAGTTAAACCCGTCGATATTCATTCGTATTTTTAACACATCAGTTTTACGCGACGAATGAGGTGGTTAGGTTTTTCACGTTCCTTCTTTTCCTTTCCTCTGCTTCTTCTCCAACCACTCCTGTCTGTCACGCTATTCCAGTTTCTAGGTAAGAGAGTAGCAGCAGCTGGAAGAGTAGGAATAGCAAGTGTTGCTAGTTTGTTAAGACTATCGTTAGCCTACTTAAGTTGACTAGGAGAAAGTTAACTCGAGATCATGCCTTCGTCACGTGAAGACTACCTTTCCGTTTTTTTGTATCATGCCTTCGTTTTTGCTACCTTGTTACTCCTGTTTTGTTGCATATTCAAGGTTCCGTATGTCTTTCTCCTTTCCTTCTCTCTCCATCCGCTATTGTTATCTCTCTTCTCATTTTCTCTCCGTCCGTGTTTCTCTTTTGTTTTCCCTCTTGTAACTTCTTGCTGGAATCGTTCTGCTTGTGCTTGGCGCGTTGGTGACTTTTTGCTCGTGCCAGGCGCGCTAAGGGAGAGGCCGCCACTCTCACCTACAGCTTCTTAGGTAAGCTTTACTTCCTCTATTCTTAGATGCCGATGATGACACTCAGCGTCCTGCGCATTCTCCGTTTACATATTCCGTTTTTTTATTTAGATATTCCAGTTCGTATTTCTTCCTAATCTCTTCTCTTCTTCTTTCAGTCCGTCATCTCACATCCTATTTTCTCTAATTTTCGGTTTCACATCCTCTTGCATGGTCTTCATGTCCTCCTTCGTTCGTTCATTCCGTACGACCTAGCTCTTATGTGTTTTCCCTCTGTTCCCGTTCCTTACTTTCGTTTTATGCCTCTGTACCTCCTTTCTATTTGTCGGCTCTAACCTTTCAATGCTCACGGCGTTTTTCTTAGCCCTTGTATTGTTTCATTCGTTTCTTGGTTATTCCTGCATCTCGTCATTTCATCACACCTCATTTCCTTTTCTGTTTTTTTTTTTGTACCGACTATTTCTTTCGTTCCTCCTTTCTACATTCTAAACCCGTTTCTCAGGAGTCTTGCTGCTCAGGAAGGGGATTTGAATCTGGAAAATGTGTATCGGTCACTTTCAGGATTTATCTTGTCATATTGTCCATTTAATGTTGATTTGCATGTTATTTATTATCGCGTGTTTTGGCTGGGTTTGCTGCTGTTTGTGCTTTTGATTGTGTGAATGTGTTTGATTGTGAGAGTGCATTCATCTCATTGATCATTGCAATATTAATGCATGTCTGTCAATTTAAAAAAAGGGGTTCATTTCTATCATTTCTCATTGGTTCATTGGCGCACTCAGTGACTCGTGTGTTTGCCACTTCGAACTGGATTTGATAGTGTGAACCTCTTTTTTAGAGTTAACAGATTGCATTTTTTCATGTGTTGGTTTATTATTCAAAGACTTTGCTATTGACTTCCCCCCCATGCTAGGCAGGGGATGCGGTAGCCTAGTTTTTGGGTCTTTAACTATCACGCATTTGTATGACATCTCGTATGTTGCATTTCAGCATTTCGCTTCATAGAAAAGCATTTTCATCCATGTATCAGTATTATGCATCTATATATCTTGCCGCATTACATTGATTTAAGCATGCGTGGTATGTACTTCATTACTCATATTCGTAATATTTTTTACATGCAATTATCACAACAACGGCAAGCAGTAAAACATAAAACGCAAACAGTATAGCATATAGGCAAAAAACTACTATAATAAAAAAGAAATTAATATATGCACAATGGGAAGGATGGTACTGTAGCTTACGAATTTTATTTTCGTGTTAAATAAAAAACATGGAAAGAAAATTTGTCAAAATCGATTGTAAAGGGTTGCTTCGCAACCCAAAAAAAAAAAAAGGCACCGACATTGACACCCCTTTGGCGACCCAATCAGGTTCTTCCGGCAGCATAACTTATCATCATAAATGCCACGTCAACTTCCAAAACTGCTGGTTTGCTAAAGCACACATCAAGCATTGACGAGTTTATTGTGCCAGCTGGAACCTGGGGATTGCACGAGAGATCGCAGCCGTGAATTGGCTAGACTGGTCGGGGCTTGGGCAATTTGCTGTGCAGTTCCACGAACATAACGAAAAAATTGTGGTTTTCGTTTGAGAGAGTAGCGCCAGTAGCGAAGATTCGCCAATCGCCCATTTCGACGAGGTTACGTCGAAAGGGGCGGGAATATCACTCGGGACCACGCGCAATGACGCTGCGACGCGCGCGGGCGGGGCCACCGCCTAATCGCGCTGCGTGATCTGCTAGAGCACCAATGGCGTGCGGGCCGGGTGGGGCCACCATCTGTTCTGCTGTTGCTAGCTTGTCCCCCAAGCAGTTCGTGAATGGTGTACGCGAGCGAACCAACTTCAAATTCTTGTTGCATAATCGCCTTCTTCTGCTCCTGCTGTGAGGCTAGTCTTGGCATTTGTGAGATCCAGTTTTCTGCTTTCCGCCCCTTCCACTCCACACTTGCTGCTTTGTGAGTTGCGATTGCCCGCAGTGCCAGTTCTTCTGATCCTTTCCCTTGGTTTCTCATGGCTCTCGCGCTTCAGAAATCCGCACTTTTCACGTTGCTGCAACTAGCAGTACTACTGCCGTTGACTCAAGTCGCCGTTCGCGCGAGCGCTGCTGCTCTGCCGTGCAGCCGGTCTCCCGTCGCTGGATTCGCCAAGAAAGTCACGCTGGCACCGGGGTACGTGCTGGACCTTCTCCGCTGGATTCGCCAAGAAAGTCACGCTGGCACCGGGGTTTTGAGACGTCTCAAACGACGTAATGGACATGTGCGGAAATGTTGATTGAACAGATGCTTGGGGTGCGAGTCGGGGAATGACTGCACGAAACTCATGCAAATTAACTCATTCACCGTTATTGTAACAAACCGGGTCGTGACAAACCGCCGTGCTGTATAGACTGGGTGGGCGATAGTCGCAAACCCTTCTCTCGCGCCTGGTGAACGGAAACACAGGCCCTCAAACCCTTCCCTCCCGTCGCCCTCCCCACCCGACGCACGCCAGGCTCGTGTTTCACTGGAAGGTGCTGTACGGTAACACGCTCCGCGCGGCGATAATCGCGCAGGCAAGCAGCGGCGCGAATAAGGGGTGGGTCGCGATCGGGTGGACCAAGAGCGCGGGGAAGATGTACCCCGCGGATGCCGTCGTCGGGAATCTGGGCAGCAAGCCGGCTAAAGTCGAGCCGTACGCGATGACCAGCTACAGTGCTGTAGCGAAGTCGAGCGCTTTTACTGTAACGAGCGCAGTTGTAGCGCGGAAATCGAGGTCTACAGTCATCAGGTGCGTATCGAGGCAATATAAGTCACTCTTGTTGGGGATCTACCGATGAGCGTAGGGCTGTAGGACCTTGTATTTTTTTAGGATTCTGAGAAAATACCGTGCATACAGAACGTAGGCTGAGGTATGATCTCGTCGCGTTTTAAGGCCGGCTCATACACCACCCGAGGATCGTCGGCTGAGGCATGTCGTTGGTTTAGATGACATGGGGAGTGCTTGTTACCCCGAGGCGAGTCGTCCTAGTAGCGACCATATTCTGGTCATTCCAGAATATGGTCATTCCCGTTATAGAGCGCAGCAACCCCCCGCATGGATACCCGAAACCCGAAAGCCCGCCACCTCCATATACTTCTCACGTTTCCTAGTAACCATTAAACCCGAAACCTCGAAACCCTTAACTCTTACCCTGTCCGCTGTTACGACCCCCTGTTCGTACTCAATTCATCCGCCATGAAATGCGGGAAGCAGCACGTATGACAGAAGCGTGGAAAAATAGAAGACTGCCAAAATGTTCTCTCTTAGTTCAAGTTCACTCAAAAGCTACAGATATGACGCTGTCAGCTAATCCCGCAGCAAGGAAAATCTGGCTTTTATAGCAGAAGCAAGATTCATCATTTCTAATCGCGCGTGTCTTCCCTCTCACGCCCCTCAGGTTCACTCGCAGCGGCACGTCGGGATTATCGCCGATCAACTACAAGGGCAGCAACGACATGGTCTGGGCCTACTCCGTTGACGGCTCCACCACGATAGGTGGCCACGGTACCAACCGGTACGCTCGAACTATTTGCATCCTCCGCAGCAAGCTAACCTTTGAGTAGACTCCATTGTCGCATCGTCTGGGCCTACTCAGCCGACGGCTCCACCACTCTGGGCAACCCATGTTCCCAACCGGTACGATTGCAACGGTTGCGAGTTTCGGAATCCCATCGATTTCGATGGAATAACACATGCGACAGGGGCAACGAGCTTGGTGTCCATGTGGAGCCTGTTTAATCACGGAACAAACCCTTATCTTCCTGCTAAAATCGTATCCTAAGGGCGTGTTGAAAGTGTGAAGATCGAAGGATCGGGGCTTTGAACCGATTGTCTATACCGAGCGCGACTGTAGATCCTGAGCTCGGTGTTGGCCCCTCGACAAAAACGAACCGCCAAAACAGTCACAGCATGTGTACCACGATCGCCAGAGTACAGTAGCACTTCTGATATTGCGACAAGGCGAGTTTCGCGGGTTACAGCACTACAACGTTGGTCAACAATGTCGACAAAAACCCGTTCCTCTTCGCGAGATGTGTTTTGCGAACTGTGCTTATCGCAATTTCGTGCACTGGTCAATCTCATGATCGGTCGTCAGTGCGGAGCCGATCGAGCGGGCTCCCTCCAGCTATCACAGTTGTGCACAGTGGTTGTACTGTAGCTTGGTCAATTGACGCTACAGTAGCGCGACGAGGGCGGGATCGGTTTAGGGAGGGGATCGATCGCTTACTCTCAACACGCCCTAATCTTCCTGCTCGTTTCGTATCCTGATCTTCCTGCAAATTTCGAATCCCAGTCTTCCTGCTCGCTTTTTGCCCTAATTTTCCTCCTCGCCTCTTATTACGAATGGTTAAAGTTAAAGTTATATTTCTGGTCGTAACCAGTTTTTTTTAAGGGGTATCCATTCCTAGATGAGCACATGCCAACCCCTTCTTGGGGCTGGCAGAACACGCCTGCATGGGGGTGGGTTCGATCCCAGGACCTCATCTATCGAAAGTGCCTCTTTCTACTGACTAGGCCCCTTCTGGATCTCTTATTATGAATGGTATATGCTGCCGTGCAGGGGCTCTGCGACAGTTAACCTGGCGTGCAAAATCTGAGGCATTTTTATCGTCGGCGGAATCCACAATCTCGTACCCGTTTGTGTTTCCTTGTGGACTCGGTATACGCTGCTATAAGGTGGTGGATTCGGGAGCATGTGAGGACTACATCTAGAAGGGGTGCTAATGAGCCTTGTGCTAATTTTGGATTTGTAGTATTGGGAAAGGGCACGGAAGTTTAGGCAAGCCAGGTTAACCAGAACCCTTCTTTATCTGCTGTACATCCTGACTGTTGCTAGTAATCGTTGGCAAATCCATATGGCTAATGACGTGAAACTATAAATCATGTGCATAAATCCATGGAGGATTGCAAAACAAGCAGAGACAGACTATGTTCACAATATAATGTACCATATACAGCGGCTTGTGCACTATACACGAACCACGTCACATCAAAGGTAGGTGATGCAATAACTGTACAAAATGACAAACCCCAGCCTATCTATAGTAGCATGTCACTAGGATACCCCTGGCCTGGGGATTCCTCATCATGGCTGTGCACACCTCCCACTCCTGCTCCCAAATATGGTATAGTCTGCATTACCATCATACTTTACATGCCACTTGTATCTACAGTGGCACATCACCAGGATATGCCTGGGGGTTCCCCATAACGGCTGCGCGCACCGCCCTCTCCTGCTCCTGCAGATGGAGTGGAATGACGTCATACACATCGCTCACTAGATCCGATAGAGGCGGCTTCGGGAGCTTCTCAGCAGCTTCCAGTGCGGCAATCACCTGTAATGAGCCAAAGAAATGGGGCAGAGTGAGAAAGGATGGAGAATGAGAGCCATAGATGCATGCATGACCCATAAAACCAGTCGAAGAATCACCCAACGATCCCACCAAATGCACACCCAACCACATACATGCACTCCCGCCCCCCAGCCCCCCAGACCTCATGATACATGCAACCATGCACCAAGCACACTGGCACTCACCTCGCCCCTGACAGTGTCCCTTGCTGCCTTCTCCCGCTCCTCATCCCACCACCCTCGCCTCTCCAGCCACCTCCTCAACCGAGCAACAGGGTCTCTCTGTGTGCGCCAGTGCGCCATCTCCCCTGCTCCCTGGCTCCTCCAAACCTCATAATACATGCATGAACTAGCACACATACGCACTCACCTCGTCCCTGGCAGTGTCCCTTGCTGCCTTCTCCCGCTCCTCATCCCACCACCCTCGCCTCTCCAGCCACCTCCTGAAGCGCGCCACGGGGTCTCTCTGTGTGCGCCAGTGCGCCATCTCCCCCGCCCCGCGGTAACGGGAAGAGTCGTCCGACGTGCTGTGATGCCCCGTGCGGTATGTCATGGCCTGTAGAGACGAGGGGAGGAGTGATAGGGGATAGCGGGAGGGTAAACGAGGGAAAACAGAGGGTAAATGGAGGGTAAAGGGGGAGTAGACGGAGAGTATAGGGTAGAGGGAAGGTAAAGGGAGGGTTGAGGATAGGGGTCCCTCTGCATGCGCCAGTGCGCCATCTCCCCTGCCTCGTGCGGTATGCCATGGCCTGTAGAGGATAGAGGGTGGACGAATGGCGAAGGATGGCAAGACAGCAGAGATCTCTCTGTGTGCGCCAGTGTGCCATCTCCCCCGCCCCGCGGTAACGAGCTCCTCGGTAACGAGACGAGTCGTCTGACGTGCTGTGATGATGCCCCGTGCGGTATGTCATGGCCTGGGAAGAGAGGGGAGTGATGAGAGGGAGGGAGAGGGGCAATGTTGAGGGAAAGGTGAGAGAAAAGAGAGTGAAGGGAGGATAGGTAGTGGAACGGTAGGTAGGGCAGAGGGAGGGAAGAGGGGGAGGAGTGGGTAGAGGAAGAGTGAAGAAGAGGGGAGGAAGGCAGAGGTCGCTGTGTGTGCGCTAGAGCACCATCTCCGCCGCACATAACCGCACTTCACCACAGTACGCGACATTTCACCGTAGTTCACCGTATTGCATCTCACCTCCACGAGAACGGGTTTCCCTGTCTCCACCGCTCTCAACCTCGCCTCCTTCACCCACAACACCACCAGCACATGAGTTCTGACTTTTGGTGAAAACCCACCACCATCACCGCAAAGCACCGCACCACCCTTCACTGCACTTCACCACAGTACACCAATCTTCCCCGCACTGCATCTCACCTCCACGAGAATGGGTTCTCCTCTGCGTCACTCGCTCCCTCGCCTCCTTCACCAGCCGCAGCACCGCCAGCACGTCGTTGCTGTCCACCCGCACACTAGAGACGCCCTTCACTGCACTATACCGCACTCCACCGCCCTTCATTGCACTTCACCACAGTACACCACACATCACTGCACTCCACCTCACCTCCACGAGAATGGGCTTCCCTGTCTCCACCACTCTCGCCCTCGCCTCCTTCACCACTCTCAGCACTGCCAGCACGTCATTGCCGTCCACCCGCACACTAGAGACGCCGTATGCCGCCCCTCGCCCTGCTATGCCATCACCTGAAATTCATGAAGAAGTGAGAGGGAGAGTGGGTTGTGGGGGCCGGGGGGGTGTTGAGAGGAGGAGAAAAAGGAACGGGAATTAGGGAGGGAATGCATCATGTGAGTCGACTGATGCATCATTTGCATCATGCAAATACTGTTATCAAAAGGTGACTTTTGAGTCGACTCAAAAGTCATCTCATCATGTAAGGCCGAATACTGTTATAAAACCAGTAACATTCTTGTACCTTACAGTGATGATTGTTTGAAACTTCATGAAGGAGAAGCAAGTTATCTTCTAACCTTCAGGTAGATGTTATGTTATGTGACCATGTTTCCTCAGGAGCATGGTGTAGTGGTGCTTCAGAAAAGATATCGTAGCGTCGGATATGACATACCTCGGTACTGCTCCTTAGCGGGCGTGCTTATAGCCCAGCCGTTGTTGCGGCATATAAAGAGTACAGGTGCTTCCAAGACTGCTGCGAAGTTGAGAGCTGCGTGAAAGTCGCCCTGAGAGTTGGCACAATGGGACACGTGGGCACACGTGGGCACACGTGGGAACATATGGTAAAAAATCGTCCAATCAGGAGAAAACAAGCGCGCGTGAATGCAGAATGCACCTTCTACAGGCGTCACCACAGGTCATTCTCAGAGTTCTCACCTCACTTGCAGCGCCCTCCCCAACGTAAGCCACAGAGCAGCATCCCTTACTGTCACACGAAACTACGCGAGACCGCACACTACCGCACTGTATCATGTTGTCACCCCTTCGCTGCTCACCTCACTTGCAGCGCCCTCCCCATAGTAAGCCACAGAGCAGCATCCCTCACTGTCACACGAAACTACGCGAGACCGCACACTACCGCACTGTATCATTTTGTCACCCCTTCGCTGCTCACCTCACTTGCAGCGCCCTCGCCAAAGTAAGCCACGGAGCAGCACCCCTCGCCCTCCATCTTGAGCCCATAGGCCGCCCCCACTGCATGAGGGATCTGTGTGCTGGTGGGTGTGAGAATGAGAACACGAGAGACAGGGTCGGAGGGAGGCGGGGGGGTGGGGTGGGGTGGAATGCGGTGGAATACACGGAGCAGCACCCCTCGCCCGCCATCTTGTGCCCCAAGGCCGCCCCCACTGCATGCGGGATCTGCGTGCTGGTGCTCCAGGGGGAACAGGAAACAGGGGAGACGGAGTTGAGGGGGAGGGAGTGGGCTAGGGAGGCACGAAAGCAAGTCACGGAGCAGCATCACTCGCCCTCCATCTTGAGCCCATAGGCCGCCCCCACTGCATGGGGGATCTGTGTGCTGGTTGGGGTGAGATATACAACACGGGAGACAGGGTCGGAGGGAGGCGGGGAGGTGAGGTGAGGTGGGATGGAATGCGGTAGAAGCCACAAAGCAACCCCTCGTTTGCCATGTTGAGCCCATAGGCCGCCCCCAATGCAATGCATGGGGGATCTGCGTTCTGGTGGGTGGGAGTTGATTTAGATAGTGAAAGGGAGGGTTGGAGTGGAGGCGCGGAGATGCTGTGGAAGCGTCTGACAGGGTGTGGATTTGATTTGATTTCAGGAGAGGAAGCGGAGCTCCAAGGATCCCATAATCCACCAGCATCTGATAGCCTTGCTCTCCTGAAAACCAAGTGCATCCTCCCTCCCTTGACAAATAAAACAAACAGAATTAATATGGGGAGAGCACCACTCACGCAAGGGGCGAGGAGATGGTGTGGAATCGGAGCTCTGCAGACCCATAGTGCACGGGCATCTGGCGGCCATTGCCTGCGTCCAGCCGGTTGCCCCCCCTTTGTCAGATGAACCTTTGATACTTTGAGCCACTCACGCCAAGGGGGACGAAATGGTGTGGAATCGGAGCTCCGCAGACCCATAGTGCACGGGCATTTGCCGCCCCTTGCCTGCGTCTAGCTGGTTGCCCATGCACTGGTTGGCGAAGTCAGCGAGAGAGAAGCCCCGCCACAACAGCACCCCTGGCTCGCGATACTGCCAGGCAAAGGGGCAGGGCGGGGGAGGAGAGCCAGAAGGGAAGTGAGAGGCACTTTACTGCATCTGGCGGCCCTTGCCCTTGTCCAGGCGGTTGCCCATGCACTGGTTGGCGAAGTCACGGAGGGAGAAGCCCCCCCACAACAGCACCCCTGGCTCTCGGTACTGAAGGGAAAGGGAGAGGGACGGGAAGGGGGAAGTGGAAGGAGAGTGAGGGAGTCTGTTTGAGCTGTGGTCTCTGTGCGCCCCTTGCCCGCATCAAGGTGGTTGCCCATGCACTGGTTGGCGAAGTCAGGGAGGGAGAAGCCCCGCCACAACAGCACCCCTGGCTCTCGGTACTGCCAGGCAAAGGGGGAGGGCGGGGAGGAAGAGCCAGAAGGGAAGTGGTCATGTAGAACGAGAAGCGCCCCTGCCTCTCAACCCCTTACAACACCAGCCGGGAGTGAAATTGGGGAGAAGAGAGAGGAACACCACACGCACCTGAGCAAAGACGTGGTCGTGGGGGTGGATGGCGGCAGCAGAAGCGATGTTAACGGCCTCCTCCCCCGCTGTGGTCATGTAGAACGAGAATCGCTCCTGCCTCTGCGCCCCTGCCTCTGCCTCTGCCTCTGCGCCCCTTGAGAGGGAAAGAAGGCTAGAAAGAATGCCTCTGGAGCCCAGAAACCACACGCACCTGTGCGAACACATGATCATGCGCGTGAATGGCGGCAGCAGAGGCGATGTTAACGGCCTCCTCCCCCGCCGTGGTCATGTAGAACGAGAAGCGCCCCTGCCTCTGCGCCTCGTAGAACACCGAGTCCATTGCCTGCAGCTCCACCATCGCTTCATACATGCGCTCTGCTTCGGATTGGCTCAGCTGGCATGGGTTATTGACAGGGAGGTTAGAGGAGCGGGAGGGAGAGGGAGTGGGGAGAAGCGCCCCTACCTCTGCGCCTCATAGAACACCGAGTCCATGGCCTGCAGCTCCACCATTGCTCCGTACATGCACTCTGCCTCAGACTGATTCAGCTGGACGGACGGATTAACAGAGGGGGCAGTGGTAAGGAGGGGAGGGCGATGGCGTGGGGAGAAGCGCCCCTGCCTCTGCGCCTCATAGAGTACCGAGTCCATGGACGGGGAGGGAAAGAGTTGCCTGCAGCTCCACGATGGCCTCACTCACTCACTCACTCACTCACTCACTCACTCACTCACTCACTCACTCACTCCCTCCCTCACTCATTCACTCCTTCACTAACTCAATCACTCACTCGCTCCGCCACTCACTCCCTCCTTCACTCACCTCGGGCTCCTCGGCGCCTTCAACGAGCCCCCCCTCGTGGTCCAGCACTCGGAAGCACGGCACTGGCGATTCTGGCAGCTCCGGCACGAAATGAAGATCAGAAGTGAATGCCATGCGCGCGCCTGGAAACTCGTGAGATACCGCCACCGCTGCTGCTGCTGCTGCTGCTGCTGCTGATGACGTGGCAGCTGACGTGGAGGCCGACGTGGTGGCTGACAACAGATTGGGCTCCTGTGGAGTGAAACCAGAGATTCAGAGGGTGTCACACTATGCATACGTGTCAGAAGCAGCCTTGCATATCCAACAGAATGGAAGGACCAGATTTCTGAACTTCAGTTTGAGAGTGAGAAACAGTAAGTGAAGGACCTTGAGACATGTTACAGCGAGCAACAACGTAGGAGAAAGTTTAGCAAAGGAAAGACAGTTGTAGTAACTGATAAGAAACGGTAATAGAAGGGCCTGATACATGAAAATGGCGCGAGAAAGCAAAATGAGAACAATCATCTCACCTGTCGCTGATGTGGCGAAAACGTGAAGTTTCTCACGAAGCTTCTCGTCTGTCCGATTCCAGCAGCGTCCTGAGTTGTTGAGGCTGTAACGAGCGGAGCCAAACCAGATAGTTTTCGAAGCGTTCGCTCACTTTCGCGAAATCCTCGGCGTGCAACAGCAGCAGCTAACGCACGGCTCGCCATACTAATGGAAAATTTTCAGAAAGAGTCGTTTCAAACGGATGCGAGAGCCGACAACCCAAAACGCAGAGACGCGAGTCCGCTTCGAAGTCTAATATTGCGTACGATTCTCGGAGTCGTAGCTTGTCAGCGCAACAGCAACAGCATGAACCTATCTGAGAGCTCGGCAGGACAAGCTGTGCGTGTCGCCTATGAGCGGCAGCACAGAATGATAATATCTCTTATTGACAGGGTGCAAAGAGGGCCACGGTTCGGGTAGTCTGTCGCAGAAGCGTTCCGCCGTTGCGACTGCCGCTCCTGCCGAAACCACGGCTGTAACAGGCTATTCAGGCTTCTTCAGATGGAATTCATGGTTACTGAGTCCGCTGCTTTGCCTGTCAGCCTCATCACTTGGCTGGGTGAGTGTATCGCCAATCTCAAAATGCGGTTCCTGAATATTTTCGAATATTTTCTCCGGTTCAGTGCGATTCTCCAGATAAAGAATATAAATAGATACTTACCGCTCTGGACCTCCGTGAATTTAGCTACACTGAACGAGGTGATTTGAAGTGCCAGTATCAGGCAGACCAAGACACCCTCAAGGAGTCTCGGAAATTCACAACCATTCGTGGGAGGTGACGTGGATTTTTGGAGGTTGGAGTTGGTGATTCGTCACAACAAGCCCAAGCCAGCGTTTACCTGCTCGCAGGTCTGCTGATCCAGCTCCTCGCTGCCTCTGCGGCTCGTGTTTCACAATCAGCGATTCGTCGCAAACAGATGCAGCCAGTAATGGTTTCGTTACACGAACAAACACGTATACTCTTGACGAATAGCCTGTCACAAACTACATAGCATTAGGTTTTGAATCACACAATATTAACACTCAACGGTTTCATAAGCTGCAGCTTAGTTGTTGGACTGTTGCATCCGCACAAGGCTCTCGCCGATCACGTCCGTTGGAAGCTCGTCCGATTCATCCAACGGCATGTACTGCGCCATGATGGCCCGAATCTCGGAATCAACATGTGTCTGGACGTAACACAAGCCAGACATGTCAGAAAGGAAAACATAAGCAATCATCATACACACATGCGCTGCAACAGACTCATAAAACTGGATGAAACGAAAGGTGCGAAACCAGATCAAAGGGCCTCACACATGCTTACACAGTAATAGAGAAATTGATGGTGAAGTTGGAATTCTTACCCGAAGGTGGTACTGGTACATTAAATATCCCAGGACTGCAAAAACGGCAATGAAGCCCAACACTATGGCCACCACTCCACCCCAGATGGTACGAGTCGGGGCTGAGCCCTCAGATACCCTGCCTGATGTGTGTGAGAGGGGTGGAGTGGGGAGTGTTAAAAACTAGGATAAGGGGCAGCTCTATTCATGTGATGTGAGAGAGTTGAAGTGGAGAGCATGAAGACAGGGATTAAGGCCAACTCAAAGGCCACTACTCCACCACAGATGGTACGAGCACGGGCTGAGCCCTCAGATACCCTGCCCGATGCGTGTGAGAGAGATATACACGGGGAGTGCTAAGAGACGTGAAAGAGAGAGAGATGCGGTGAGACGTGAAAGAGACGCGAAAACAAGCACTCGGGCCAATAAGGTACTCCATTACGAACGACGCATGAGCACTCATACGACCATAACCAAGCTCGTAAATTTCAAAGGGAATAACAAATCAGTCGAATCGTAAGCCACTTACTGATGCAAGCCTGAAGCTGGTCGATATAAACCATATCCTCTCCCACACACGAGCACTCGTAAGACCCGAACGTGTTGCGGCACTTGCACTCGGGGCACTTGCAGGCGGGGTGCGAGGGGGCACACTCGTTGATATCCTTGCAGTGATGGCCGTTGCCCGTGAAGCCTGGCGGACACACACAGGTGGTGGTGGGGGAGGTGGAGCTGTCCTGCTTGGGGGAAGGCCGTGGGGAGTAGGGGGGGGGGGAGAGAGGGGGAGTGGGGTGGAGGAGAAGCGGGGAGAAAGAGGGGAGAGAAGGGAAAGAGGGTGTGAGGGCGCACACTCGTTGATGTCCTTGCAGTGATGCCCATTGCCTGTGAAGCCCGGCGGACACACACAGGTGGTGGTGGGGGAGGTGGAGCTGTCCTGCTTGGTGTGAGCGGGGGGTCGGTGGGGGATGAGGGATGGGGTAGTAGGGGGATGGGGGGGAAGGGGAAGGTCAAGACGCGTGCACACTCGTTGATGTCCCCGCAGTGGTGGCCGTTGTTTGAGGCGCCTCAAAACTTGCAGTCAGGTTGCAGTGTGTACACTCGTTGATTTTCCTGCAGTGATGCACGTTGTCCTGAAAGCCCGGCAGACACACACAGGAGGTGGTGGGGGAGGTGGAGCTGTCCTGCTTGGAGAAATGGCCGGTGAAAGGGGAGAAATCGGAGGTAAGGAGCATTAGCACTCCAATGCTTGAAAAGAGAGACACCAGCAGCAGCAGCAGCAGCACAGCAGCAACTCACATGACAAGCGGTGTACGACTTTCCCTCGTGAGTGGACTGCCAGCATCCCCCGTTGCCCACTTCACAGTCGACTCACAAGGCAGGCACAACAGCAACCCAGCACCAGCAGCACCAGCAGCAGCAGCACAGCAGCAACTCACATGGCAGGCGGTGTACGTCTTTCCCTCGTGGGTGGACTGCCAGCATCCCCCGTTGCCCACCAAGCAGCGACCCACTCCCGCCGCTGCACGTGCAAGTGAGGAGAGCAGCAGAGAACATGGGAATGGGGAGAGCAGAGCAGGTCAGGTGGGGAGGGAAACACAACACGTGAATGAAGGACCCCCCTGCCATCCCCCGTTGCCCACCAGGCACCGACCCACTCCCGCCGCTGCATGTGCGGGTGAGGAGAGGAGCAGAGCGCATGGGGAGAGCAGAGAGCATGGGGAGAGCAGAGCGCATGGGGAGAGCAGAGCACGTGGGTTGAGCAGTGCAAGGAGTGAATGAATCACGAGAGCATGTAAAAAAAAAAAAAAAAAAAAAAAAAAATAGTGGTTATGGGAAATACAGTAGGGCGGAAAGATAAGTGGGCTGAAATACAGTAGTGGTTATGGGAATTTTTTTTTGTCAAAGTACTCACCCTCGCACTTAGTGTAGCCATCCCCGGTAAGATATACCCCCGTGGCAGGGTCCTTGGGACACTCACACACCCTGCCTCGGAACGTGTCCTGCAAGGGGGGGAGAGAGAGAGAGATAGAGGGAGAGAGGGCAAAGGGAAACATGTGATCCTTGGGACACTCGCACACCCTGCCTCTGAAAGTGTCCTGGAAGGGGGAGAGAGTGGGAGAGGGAATTCTTACAAACCTTCAGGATTGAGACGACTCAAACCCTCTTACAAACCTTCAGGATTGAGACGCCTCAAAACCCTCTTACAAACCTTCAGGATTGAGACGCCTCAAAACTCTCTTACAAACCTTCAGGATTGAGACGCCTCAAAACCCTCTTACAAACCTTCAGGATTGCCGGAAGCAAACCTTGACTCAGCCCACACATCGAGACAAAAGATGTGTTGACAGACTCACACACTCTCAGCACAGGAGTGCACAGCACAGGACAGCACATTACACCTCATCTCAAATGGATGTGGTTCAGATCAGAGCGAAGCGCACCTTGCAGGCTGTGAGATTGTGCCCCTTCCAGCAGCCCCCGTTGTTGGTCAGGCACTCGTTAGTTTGCACCTCTGATGGCGTGGCGGGGCAGGAGGTGGGAGGGTGGCGGGGGAAGGAAGGGGGAGGGGATGGGGGCAGCCCCCGTTGTTGGTCAGGCACTCGTTAGTTTGCACCTCTGATGGCGTGGCGGGTTGGAAAAAAAACCACGGGAGAAGGCAATGATCGATTGGTCACCAGCAGCTACTTCAAAAGAGAATGGTATATTGAATTGAGTATTGCATGGAGTCTTACGTTGCACATGCTCATACCGGCACCAAGGCAGATGGGTGGCTCTGTGGATTCTTCAAAGCCCGCACAGATCGCCTTGAGAACTGCCTTGGCCTCTAGCTTGCCTGCACTTGCCATCCATATCATGACATGCCACCATCATGACATGCCACCATCAAGACATGCCATCACCATGCCATGACATCACCATCCATACGAATGATCGTAATGCATGACATCAGCACAGTATGACAGCAGCACAATATGACATCAGCAAGACATGCAATCACCATGGCATGCTGTCATGTGTGAGCACAAGGCATGTGAGTGTGGCAGCATGTGTGATGACTCGCGTTACTAATGCCAAACACCGGCCACTCACCTCTGTACTGCACATTGTTGATCACAATCATGGTAACATGGTAACAAACGCGACACAATCAGCTCAGAAGTGACCTCTTAACTGATACCAACTGCCTACCTCTGTATTGAACATTGTTGATCACAATGGTTGGTAACATGGTAACATCGCTCCTCCCACGCTTGCCCACCTGATGGGATGGGGACAATGGGGGGAGAGCAGCAAGAGCAGGAGGGATGAGGCAGAGTGGTGGAATTGACGGAGATGGGGCAGAGTGGGGGGAGTGGCAGGAATGGGGTTGGATAAAATATGGGTTTGAGTCATTAGAAAAGCTCGGTCAATAGAGGGGTATGCCAGGCGTGAATGTGACACTAAGGAACTCCCACCTGAGCCTCCTGCTCTTCTTCCATCACGGGGTTGGCTGCATTCCTGTTGGGCTCGCCCAAGCACGCGCGTACCTTGCGTGGGTATAGTCTAGTTTGGAGCTACCATACCAGGTACCCACCTGAGCCTCCTGCTCTTCTTCCATCACGGGGTTGGCTGCATTCCTGTTGGTTGGGCTCACCCATGCCCGCCCAAAGTTTTTTAGTCGACTAATATAACGAGCGATGCAAGTTCAAAGAGGTACCGCTGACCCACCTGAGCCTCCTGCTCTTCTTCCATCACCGGGTTGGCTGCGTTTCTGTTGGGCTCGCCCATGCACGCGCGCACCTTCTGCGGATCCACACCTGTTGGGAAGAGAGGAGGGAGAAGGAGGGGTGGGGTGTTGAGGGGGTTTTGATTGGATCCCATGCGCACACACAATTGCAGTCCTGTTGGGCTAACCCATGGATCGTGTAAACAGAGTTGTTTTGAGACGTTTGAGAATTCTCAAAAGTTTTGAGACGTCTCAAAGCAGTCCTGTTGGGCCAGCCCATGAATCGACACGTGACAGGGTGTGGGGTTTGGAAAGGGGGAGAGTGGGGGAGCGGGTCGATTGGAATCAGTCACTATGTCAGGCCTGCTGAGCTCATACATGCATTCCTGTTGGCCCGCACATGCACGCCCGCACCTTGCACGGGACCACAACTGTGTGGGGGGGGAGGTTGGGGAGACGGGTAGAGTGGGGGAGCGGGTTGATTGGAATCAGTCACTATGTCAGGCCTGCTGAGCTCATACATGCATTCGCTCATGCACGCCCGCACACAATCCGTTCATGAGCTTCTCGGCACCCTCCTGGCTGTACTGCTTCTCCTCCATGCGGTATCGTTCCTACCAACTCCCCCCTCCCCCTGCCTCCCGACCTTTCTTGTTATACATGCCACGAGCAGCACCAGCATCCCCATTCCAGCACAACAAACACACACTCACCCAGGCCGGTCATGAGCTTCTCGCCGCACTCCTGGTTGTACTGCTTCTCTTCCATGCGGCACCGCTTCTTGAAGTCAGCCGCATACTCCCACCACACCCACGGCGCGCCCGTCTCATTCGCCACGCGCCACACGCACAGCTGCCGCAGATTCTCAATCACCACCTGCCGCCCATCATACCCCTTGTCGAAATCCCCCTCGGGATCAGGTGAACAGTACCGGCCGTTGTTCACGCACTGGAACTTGCACTGCCGCGTTTCTTTTAGGGTTTCCGGGCAGAACCAGGTCATATAATGCGGGGTAAAGAGCGTGAAACCCTGCTGCTCTAAGATAATCGCGTACCCCCGGAATTCCTCCAGGAATTTCGCCTGCATGTCGCATTTCGTCCCGCATTCATCATTGCTATTGGTCCAGAACTCGTACTCCACCCGCGCGTCAGGGTGCGGCAGCGACTCCTGCCAATCAAGAGCCGCCACGACCATCTGTTTCTTCTTCAGCGCGGATTTGATTGCGCTGGCGGTGGATTTCTGGATGAGAGCCGAGGGGATGGTGATGTTGCTGATGAGATCGCCGGCCTGCTTCGCCTCGGGATCATCGTCGGGAGAATCCATGGTGATCAGATTCTCGTTCTGGTCGTCCGCGATCAGGACGGCAGATGCTCCTGCCAGCTCAGCGTTCCAGACCTTCTCCGTGAAGTAGCACCCTGAGAGGAACGGAGGGGGAAGAGGGGAAAAGGGAGAGGAGGACGACGAGCCCTAAGAACAGTTGTTGTAACGGACTTATACCCCTTTTTTTACTACGAGTACCTGCGGGTTTATACACTTTGTGAAGAATCATGGTAATTATTGAAAATTAAAGCTCCATTCTTGGCTAGCGAGTAGACGCTTACCTCCTCTGTCGACGAGGAGAATGTGAGGAAGCTCAGCGGACGATTTCCTGCCGTAGTTACTCCGCGACGATTTGCACATCTGCGGGTCCTTATCGGGGTAAATTACCACTCCCTGGAGAGATGCTCCGTATTGAGGCGTTCCGAAATTCGCTATAGCGCTTTGGTACTCCCCCTTGATGTTTTCGGGAGACGAAATCACCAGGCTCTGCATTTCCACATTGAAACTGCATTTTGCTCGTGGAATGCTCGAGCTGAGAAGGCCAAGCGTAAACATTAGTATTAGTAACCACATGGCCATGGTGGTAATAAAGTCGCAAGGAGACGGCTGGACTAAATTCCACGAGACGGCGACACACAGCTAATGTACCTGGAATTCACTGCAAGCCCACCTACCCAGAATGCTCTGTCTGCACAGCAAAAAATTCTGGAAACAACAGGCGAGAACTGTACTGGTTCAAGAATCTGACGAATGTTGCAAGCGCAACTCCAAAAAGTTGGTTCAAAACGGTTCCATGAGGTTTGTGTACGCTGTACAGCGATCCGTTGTACCACCGGGATGGTTGGGTAGGGTATTGAGCAAGCTGGAAGCGAGAGGCTCGCCTTGCACCTTTCGTTTCCTCTGGGGTAAGTAGCTTTCGCAGGGGTACTACTAGCGACCCTGCGCTTTCAAGGGGACTACAGTGCTATATGCGGGCACTTTCCGCCATTCCACCACTCCGACAGGAACATTATGGCAACAACACAGAACTCGGTCCCACATTCACCCACGTGTCACAAATTTCGCAAGCCACTAGAATAAATATCCCTTTACCTGACCGAAAAAACTAAAACCCAATCGGGAAGGGATGCGTCTCAGGGAGGCATCAACCCTAAACAAATGTGGGTTCCCGTGTTTAGGGTTGATCCCTCCCGAATGAGTCCAGGTTCCCTATGGGTTTTACTTTTTTTTTGCCGTGCGTTTTTTAACTTCCGAAATTTTTACACGTGGGTGAATGTGGGGGAGAATTCTGTGTTGTTTCTATAATTCCCCTGTCTCAGGCACGGAGGGGTGGAAAGTGCCCCCTGCTGGCACTGTAGCTCCCTAGAAAGCGCGGGGTCCCTAGTAGTAACCCCGCGAAAGCTACTTACCCTTTCCTCTGGTTTTCCCGCGCTTCGTTTTCGATTCACGCACCACGGTTTGTATGTTCTGCCGCGTTCCAAAGCGGTACATATTGAGAATTTGTTTCGTGACTGCCAGAGGTGGAGGTTGTGCTGATGCACATCACGAAACCGAGTCTCGATGTGGAGGTAGTTTCTACACTGCACGACTGACTTTAAACGGCCCCAAATGGCGATGACTGAGTCTCGTGATTCTGAGTACACTGGGCAACTTTTGGCCACGAATGCGTGTTGGGTAGCAGTTCAGATTTCAAAATCCCGCGTCACAGAGAACATTTTACGAGCTACTACGAGTAACCCCAACCTGAAATCGAACACACAAAACAGGCCCCAATCTGAGGCTGGTTCTGGAGGCTCGGGAATAGCTTAGGCTCGGGAGTCAAAACAACCTCCACGTTCACCTTCCCCAAACCAGACACGTCTGTCTCACCAACCACTGCGACGAAGCAGCGTTGATTTGTGGTGGGTTCAACAACACCCAGAATATACTCTTCACTAGCTGACTCGTATGGGTTCTTTTCTGAATACCTATATAGAATTTTGTGTTCCCAAACGCATACTGTCAAGAGGCAATTTTCAGGATTTTGTGCTCATAACCTTTCGATATACTGAAGCCCGTCGCTAGGCAACTTTTTGCGAAATGCCTTTGGCGGCATTATCATGTCCGAATCGGCATCACCAAAATTCGCACCCAGCTGAAAGCCCATTTCGCCTAGCCGACTTTGCGGTTCGCCCATGTCAGGAACATCAACGGGGAATCCGCTGGACCGCGCACGGTGCTTCATGTTTGGTGATCGCGCCTCGGTGTCGTTTCCCCGTCGAGTTCTAGTGGGTGTCCGCATCACGAGTGTGACACCCATGCGCGAGCAGCTCAGCTGGCAAGTTGTGAGAGAAAACCATCTCGTAACCCCGTCGTAATCGTTCGTCTGCGTTTCGTCAAGCTCACCTGCACACAACCCTCCTTCAAGCTGGTCGTCGTTTCCTCCACCCCTCGTACCACCACTTTCAACGATCGCATTGCCCAACATTCCCAGCCCCAATCACTTCGCTCATGTGATTGCCCTTACCACATCTTTCACGTACTTCCAGCTTTAGTGCCATTCTCAGCATTAGAGCAGCAGCATCCAACATCCGACTCTGTGAGCACACTGGGAAATCTAGACTCGCAGCCCTGGTTTACCCAACCCATCGTAGACCCGCTTGAGCGGGAGAATTCATCCAGCAGGCTGGTAGCTTCACGATAGACATGTCGCTTTCCAGGGATGCAGCGGTTTCCGTGGGACTCGCAGTGATACTGTTCTGCCTCGGCGCATCGTGTTTCCATGGTGATTGTTGATCCTACTTTCTCATATTTGACTGCTTTGAAACGCGGAGAATCGCCCTCATGGAAACCATCGAAGCTGTCCTGGACCTGGTGGTCAGATAATCTGCTCTCCGGCTCCTTAGTGTCACTTGCATTGAACCATATTGCGTGACCTAAAAAACCAGCCTGGACATTGGATATATAACATTCCTCTCGTGGCTTCATCTCCCCTCCTCTAAAAATACCACTTCCATCCGTCGCTCTCCACAACCTGCTTTCCGTCGAAACGCATGCGCAATATCTCCAACAGCCTGTCAGAGCCCCTTTTTTTCACGAACACTGTATCTTCCAGTCCTCTCCACTTCCCTTTGCCAAAGCTGCCATCCTCTTCGCCGTCCACCCCCTCCTCCAGTTATGCTCCTCGTCTCACCTGCCGCGCGTGTCTTGCGCCTCCCGTTGCTCCTCCGTTTACCCCGTAACTCATCCTCATTCCTTCCTCTTCTCACATGTAGTGCAAAGTGACCATCATTCACTCTTTTCCCCTTCCCCCTTTAACGCCCCTCCTTTTCCTTGCCTGACTACCTTTCTCTCTCTCTCTTTTTTTCCCCTCGTCCGTTCCTACTTTTCCTATCAGGCGCCACCGCAGCGAAACTTCTCCCAGAAAACGTGGTGCAAGGAGGGTACGGCCCGGTCCTCGTCAAGGCCCTTGGGATGAACGCCTCGCTCGATTGGACCCTCACGCAGAATGGGAAACCAATTGATGTCAAAGTAAATGCAACGGTCAAGTCGGCCAGCGCGGGCCCAGCGGTGAAACCGGAGAAGGCGTCCGTCGAGCCGCCAGTCTTCTCCTGCAAAATCAACGTCACGGGCAAGGTGAAGGGAAAGCACTCGTCGTTGTTTAACCCGTGGGATCCCTGGACGCGAGTGGGGCTGTACAAGGGCAAGAAGGGGCTGTACGGACAGATTATCAGCCGGAACATCACAGGAGAATGGTCGTCGGTTGGGTTCCGCGGGCGGATTAAGGTTTTCACCGGGAAGCTGAAGTTGAGTAAAGCGAATGCTTCCGCTATAGCGAAAGCCCCGGCGGACTACTACGTGCAGATCACGTGGCCACCGAAGAAAATGTCGGATTGGTATTTCACCATCAGAGGTCAATTGGCGTAGTCCGCCTGCCGTGTATTGCGTATCGCACGGGATGTCGGTTTTGCTAGCGGAGGATCAGTCATAGAGTCGCGGAAGCAGCAGAATCAGCACTTTGTGTAATAACCTCGCCTCGCCTCGTCTCGCCCCGCCTCGTTTCGCCCAATCAACTCGCCAACTTCCAAGTGTCCATGGGATTTATCTGGAACCTCGCTCGTTCCCTGGACGTTAAGTGTCAGCACTCACTAGAGTCGTCACGGCCTTATGATAAGGGAGACACTGTAGTGCGTCGATTTGAGGCACTGGACGAGAGTGAATTGAGGCATATTATAGGTGGCGTGTAATTTTTGTTGCAGTCGTGACATGACAACTTATGGTGTTTTCTAGGTACTCTGCGTTCTTCTTTCTGCTGGGTATGTTAGTTGCAGCTAATTTGGCTAGCCTATGTTAAGGAATTTCATTAGCTGGATTGTTCCATGCTGTATCTTGTATACTCACAGTAAAAGTATTTGGAATTACCTTTTCTGTCTACATTGGACCAACCTACAATTGCGAATGAATGCATATGAAATTCTCAAAATAGCACTGAAGTTTATTATAGATTCCACAGATCTCTTCGATACTAAAAGCACTAAACCATTTTGACCGGACACACCACACGAAATCGTTTTGCTCAGGCCTTGTAACGAATATTTGTCCACGCTGGCACATCGGTGGCTCGGGAAAAGCCTATGTGGAGGGACGGTAGCTTCCCGAAGTCGCCAGAGTGGAAAATCAGAGCGGCTAGCCACGTCATTCCCTTAAGCATTTGCCACGTCAAAAGCTCCTTTTTTCGGAATATGGGAGGAGAGGAGCAAGCAGAATCGTCGCGGGCCAAATTTTTCCAAATCTGCCCGAACATCAACTACGCAGTGTACTGGTTCCAGCTCATCATTCATATCTCCAGCAGTCGCCGTAGAGAAGGGACTGGAAACATGCTTCGCTATAAGTACTGTTTGGACTTTCCGAGGTCCTCCTAACGGGCTCCTACATTTCCAGATTACGGTTGCCGTGTGACCGTGGCTATCCTATCCTTATAACCACCACCACCCTCTAGCACAATCCCACCCCAAGTCCATTTGCTTGATAAATGACGACGGGCTTTCGCAACTGATGGTAGCTTTATCCGTCGCATTCTCCAAGTCACTTCTCTTCCTTCGCGTTATTCCGTCGACGAATCTCGCTTCGGCGTTTCGAATTTGATACAAGATCTGGTAGCGCGTTGCTTCATGAGCCTAGCGCCCAACCGCGGTTTACTCTAAGCACGGCCCGGTCGGATAGCTTGATCTCGCCAGCTGGACACGTTTTGTGTGCTTCGCTTTTTCTCTCGTCGTCTCAGCCCCTCCTGCCAGACACCCCTTAACAGAGTTCCATTTACTCCTAGCGTCAGCCAATCATGGGGACCGCAACGTTGGCTTCGCCGCTTGCGCGGCTCCACGCTACCGTGGCTCTGTCGTCTGGCTCCGAGAGACGAACGATAAGGTATGCGTCGACGCAAATGTCACCTTGCTTGCGCGGCTCCACGCTACCGTAGCTCTGTCATTTGGCCCCGAGAGACGAGGGATCAGGTCTTGTCTTCTGAGTTGACTCAAATGTCACCTCGCTGCTCAGCTCCACGCCACCGTGGCTCTGTCATCTGGTTCCGAGAGACGAACTATCAGTCATTGTACCAAACGAGCACCTTTTTTTTAGTTGACTAGAAGGCCTTCATGCTACCGTGGCTCTGTCGTCCTGTTCCAAAGAGCGTCCGCTTCCGAGAGACGTAACGAAAGAGCGGCGTTTGAATAAATAGCTGCCGTCCAGTTCTTAGGGGCGTTATCTCAAATATTTGAACCGTCCATGTTAAAACATTGGGTACCAGCACGAGATGTGTGGTTCTGTTTTCATATTTTCTTCTCATGCACTTGCGGATCCATACTATTTGCCGCCTTTTCCCCCACAGCCTTCCTTCCCCCCACCACCTCCTCTCACCACCACCACCCCCCCCTCACCCCCACCCCCTCAAAACAGCCTGTCATCCGTCGCTTGCTCGTCGTCTCAGGCGACATTCTTCAGCGGAAGCGGCGGGACGAGAAACGCCTTCCTGTCCGCCTCCGGTCGCGGGGCGGAAAGGCGGAGGGGGAATGCGCTCGTGGTCCGCGCAGACGCGGTGAGTCGGAGATTGAGTCGGTGCGATGCGGCGGTGTGCGTCTGAGAATGTGATACGTGGGACGGAGATAGTCGTAGGCGGCGCGCCAGAGGTCAAATGCGATCCTATGCGATGGGAGTCGGTGGTGTGAAAATGAGTCAGACCATCACGTACTTGGGTCATTACCGATACCGACCCCTACCAACCGAGCCAGGCCACTTCCCGAATCAGAGCACCGTTTTGTGAAGTTTTCGATTGAGATGAGAACCATCGCGCGAGCTTGGTCAAGCTCGACGTCATAGTCACAAGGGCAAACTAACAATCAGTCGAAATCGTACAAGGAACAATGATGGAGGACTAGTGCTCTGCGTGATAAGAGACTCATCATAACAAGTCGTATTAGGGGGCAAAACGCGAACGAAACGCGCGAGCGTCGTGCGCGCTTTACTTCTGTGCGGAGGTTAGCGAGCGGCAACGTCTTATTGCATTTGTGTTCTTTTGGTTGTGTGCGTGTATGTGCGTGTGTATTATCATCGTTTTGCTGCAATGCAGGACTACTATTCGGTGCTGGGTGTAGAGAAGAACGCGGACAAGTCACAAATAAAGAGCGGTACGTACGAACAGCACAGCATTGCACTGCACCGCACTGCATTGCCGTTGCACTGTACCGCACCGGTGTGAGTCGACTGATGAGGCACCTCGTCCCAGCTGTCGCGTGTTATCAGCGCTCCTCAGCACGGCCATTGCCTCGCCTTCCTACTCCCTCACGTTAACCTCCATCCATCCCCGCTTCCCACTCCCCATTCCCCTTTCCCCAACCCGCTCTCCCCCCTTCCCCCCCCCCCACTCCCTCTCCCCCCTTTCCCCCACCCCAACCCCCTTCCCCCTCCCCTCCCCTCCTCCCCCGCTCCCCCACCCCTCCATTCCCCTCTCTTCTACCTTGTCTTTTCAGCTTATCGACGCCTGGCTCGCAAGTATCATCCGGACGTGAACAAGTGAGTATTAGGGCGTGTTCAGGTTCATTTGGGTATGCCCAGGTGCATTATGAAAGCAGTCAATTCAGGTTTACCAGTAAAGCATTATCCTAATAAAACTTGTTACTCCAATTGTTCATTCTTTTCTCTATCCATCGCTCCTTTGCGTTGCTACACTGAACAGGGCACCAGAGGCGGAGACCAAGTTCAAGGAAATCAGTAACGCGTATGAGGTAATTTTTCCCCTGCCTATAGTGCACACACATTCCCAACCTGGTAGAAGGTGTGGCAGTCTTGCGAATTCTGTCTTGTTTTTCAAAGCAGTTTTCTTGTCCTGTCCTTTCCTCTTTTTTCTTCGCTACCCCCTCACTTCCCCTCTCCCTCTCTCTTCCCCTTCTCCCTATGCGCGTCCCATTCTCGATTCCCCTCCCCCACGCCACCGGGTTGCTGTACAACAATTCCGGGGAGGCGGGCGTCAGGTGTAAGGCCAGTGCGGCACACCCTTCTCTAACCGTTAGCCATCCCTCCCCCGTCCCCCGTCCCCCGTCCCCTCTCCCCCACGCCACCAGGTGTTATCAGACGATGAGAAGCGCTCGCTGTACGACAGATTCGGGGAGGCAGGTGTCAAGGGCGGCGCTGGCTCGGTATGTCTCTCCGTCCTCTCCCTCTCCCTCCTCTTCTCGTGGTGCTGGTCCCTTGTTTGCCCTTCTCCCTGTCATTTTGAGTCGACTCAAAAGTCATTCGGGGAGGCAGGTGTCAAGGGCGGCGCTGGCTCGGTATGCCTCCCTCTCTCACTTCCTCCCCTCCTTTAGTCGCCCTCCTCCCTTCTCTGCGCTGTTTCCCTTTTTTTTTATCTCCTATCACCTTCGCCGTTTCTCCTTCCATCGCTCTTTTCTCTCATGCAATTGCCTAATTGCCTTCACCACGCTGCCCTGCCCCCATTGCCTTCTCTCCGTCGCCCTCCCCCACATCGCCCTCCCCCACATCGCCCTCCCCCACATTTCCCTCCCCCGCATCGCCCTCCCCCACATCGCCCTCCCCCACATCGCCCTCCCCCACATTGCCCTCCCCCACATTGCCCTCCCCCACATTGCCCTCCCCCACATCGCCCTCCCCCACATCGCCCTCCCCCCCAACTCGCCCTCCCCCACATCGCCCTCCCCCACATCGCCCTCCCCCACATCGCCCTCCCCCACATCGCCCTCCCCCACATCGCCCTCCCCCACATCGCCCTCCCCCACATCGCCCTCCCCCACATCACCCTCCCCCACATCGCCCTCCCCCACATCGCCCTCCCCCACATCGCCCTCCCCCACATCACCCTCCCCCACATTGCCCTCCCCCACATCGCCCTCCCCCACATTGCCCTCCCCCGCATTGCCCTCCCCCACATCGCCCTCCCCCACATTGCCCTCCTATGAGCTGCATGGGTGGGATGGGATGCTGGCAATTTCATTATCCTTCTCCTGCTTCCTCCATCCTTTCCTCCCCAATTTCCGCAGGAGTTCAATAACCCGTTTGACCTCTTTGAGACGTTCTTTGGAGGGCGAATGGGAGGCATGGGCGGCATGGGCGGCATGGGGGGAATGGGAGCTCGGCGCACAGCCCCCGTGCAAGGGGACGATGAGAGGTGAGACAGGGGGGAGGTGAGATGCGGGGAAGGGTTGGATGGGGGAGGACAGGACTAACCGGAATGGGGGGCATGGGAGGCATGGGGGGAATGGGGGGCATGGGGGGAATGGTAGCTTGGCGCACAGCCCCTGTTCAAGGGGATGACGAGAGGTGAGATGGGAGAAAGGTGAGATGAGAGTAAGGTGAGGGAGATGCATGGTAGGTAAAATGTGTGGGAGGTGAGAGCCCGTTCGGGGCAGAGAAGCCGATAACCCTCCGCCCTCCGCCCTCCGCCCTCCTCCCTCCGCCCTCCTCCCTCTGCCCTCCTCCCTCCTCCCTCCTCCCTCCTCCCTCCTCCCTCCTCCCTCCTCCCTCCTCCCTCCTCCCCCCTCTCCTCTCTCCTCCCTCCCTCCTCCCTCCTCCCTCCTCTCTCCTCCCAAGTACGATCTGATGATTGACTTCCTGGAGGCAGTCTTTGGCTCGGAGAAGCAGATAGACGTGTCGCGCATGGAGGCCTGCGGCACGTGCAAGGGCACGGGGGCCAAGGAGACTTGCCACTCATTCATCTCTCCCCTTCTCCGTCGCACTCCCCCTCGGCCCCCCCTCTCTCCCGCCCCGCTCCCCCTCCATCTGCTGCCCTCTGCCTTCCTCTCCCCCTCTTCTCCTTCCTCCCTCCCTCCCTCTCTCCCTCCACCCCTCTCCCATCCTCCCAGGTACGACCTGACAATCGATTTCCTCGAGGCAGTCTTCGGTTCGGAGAAGCAGATAGACGTGTCGCGCATGGAGGCCTGCGGCACGTGCAAGGACTCGGGTGCCAAGCCGGGCACCAAGGGGACATGCCACTCACTCATCTCTTTCCTTCTCCGTCCCACTCCCCCCTCGCCCCCCTCTCCCCCACTCCCCCCTCCCTCTGCCCCCCTCTCCCCTGCTCTCTTTCGCTGTGCCCCTCTCCCCCTTCGCCCCCACCTCCCCTCTCACCCTCCCCTCACTCCCAACCAGGTACGACCTGACAATCGACTTCCTGGAAGCAGTCTTTGGCTCGGAGAAGCAGATAGACGTGTCGCGCATGGAGGCCTGCGGCACGTGCAAGGGCACGGGGGCCAAGCCCGGCACCACCCCCACCACCTGCTCCTCCTGCAACGGCCAGGGGCAGGTCGTATCAGTGGCCAACACCCCGCTGGGCATGTTCCAGCAGGTGACCACATGCCCGCGGTGCGGCGGCAGTGGGGAGATTTCGACCCCCTGCAACACGTGCAGCGGCAGCGCTCGCGTGCGCAAGTCCAAGCAGGTCACCCTTAAGGTGCGTTGTCCAAGCAAGTCACCCTTCAAGACATGTGGAATCTTGGGGTAGGTGGTGGTAGGGACAGGTGGGGTCAGGGGCAGGTCGTATCCATGGCGAATACTCCGCTGGGCATGTTCCAGCAGGTTACCACGAGCCCGCGGTGCGGCGGCAGTGGGGAGATTTCCACTCCCAGCAACACGTGCAGCGGCAGCGCTCGCGTGCGCAGGTCCAAGCAGGTCACCCTTAAGGTGCGTTGTCCAAGCAGGTCACCCTTAAGGTGCGTTGTCCAAGCAGGTCACCCTTAAGGTGCGTTGTCCAAGCAGGTCACCCTAAGGTGCGTTGTCCAAGCAGGTCACCCTTCAGGTGCGTTGTTCAAGCAGGGCACCCTTAAGGTGCGTTGTTCAAGCAGGTCACCCTTAAGGTGCGTTGTCCAAGCAGGTCACCCTTAAGGTGCGTTGTCCAAGCAGGTCACCCTTAAGGTGCGTTGTTCAAGCAGGGCACCCTTGAGGTGCGTTGTTCAAGCAGGTCGCCCTTAAGGTGCGTGCGTTGGTCCAGATGCGTTGTTCAATGCCCTTGCCGTTCCGGCTGGTCACCGCACTTGGGCCGAAGCCCGGCACCACGCCCACCACCTGCTTTTTGAGAATTCTCAAAAACCGGCCGAAGCCCGGCACCCCACTTGCGCGCCAAGCCCGGCACCATGCCCACCACCTGCTTCTCCTGCAACCGACAGGGGCAGGTGGTACCGGCTGGAGGTGGTAGGTATTATCCACGCCAGGTGGGGACAGGGGCAGGTCGTGTCTGTGGCGGGCATGTTCCAGCAGGTGTCCACGTGCCCGCAGTGCGGGGGTAGTGGCGAGATCTCCACTCCCTGCGGCACCTTCAACATATTCTGCCCTACCACCCTCCACGGCAGGTGGCATCACAGTTGTCTTTTTCATGTCACCGCATGTAACATATGCACTTGTGCCAGTGCTCTCTCTCTGTCTCCTCTCACGCCCCCAGGTGCCAGCAGGGGTGGACAACGGCAACAGGCTGAGAGTGCGAGGGGAGGGCAACAGTGGGTTGAATGATGCCAGTCGAACTTCTAAACCCTTTTTGTCTTATTTCTTCTTTATCTCCTCGTCCTTTCACACTCTCCAGGTGCCAGCAGGGGTGGACAATGGCAGCAGGCTGAGAGTGCGAGGGGAGGGCGACGCCGGCCTAAGAGGCGGGCCCCCCGGCGACCTCTACGTCTTCCTCTCCGTCCGCCCTGACCGCGAGCTCGAGCGCAAGGGAGCCGACATTCTGCAAACCCTCAAAGTCTCGTACCTCGAAGCCATTCTCGGCACCACCAAGCAAGTCCGAACAGTCGACGGGCCGGTTGATTTGAAAATCCCCGCAGGGACGCAGCCGGGGAGTACGCTGGTGATGGCGAAGCGAGGGGTGCCGGTGCTTGGGAAACCGAACCTGCGTGGGGACCATCTGGTGAAGGTTCAGGTGGAGATTCCCAAGGCGCTGTCGGGAGAAGAGAGGAAGCTGGTTGAGCAGCTGGAGGAGCTGAGCAAAGCCAAGGCCGGGTCGCGGTGATGGTAGAGAGAGGGGATGGGGTTGAGTGGGTGGGACTGTGCTGAGAATGCCAGCAGAAGGGATAGTTGGGTGAGGCTGGCTGTTTGGGTGAGGAGAGGAAGCTGATTGAGCAGCTGGCGGAGCTGAGCAAAGCCAAGGCTGGGTTGTGGTTGTTGGGCTGAGATAGCCCCTTAGGATCTTTGCAAGGGATAACTCTAGGTGAAGTGGTTGTAATAGCGGAAGCGTTTAGTGAAGAATTTGAACCGACCTTGCACTGGTGTGTGAGAGCAAAGTTGATTGAATTAAACAAGCAAATACAAGGATTTATATAAGAGTACAGGGAATAGATAGATAAATGTATTGCTGTTGCGGTTCGATATAGCGCGACTCGGGCAACTGCTCTGTAACGAGTCAGTTGTGTGTCCTTAACTGTCGCGCTGTAATTGTCGAGTCAAAGGTCAGCGACCTTTGACTTTCTCGTAACCTCCAGGCGGTTACCCTAATCTCCGAGGTTGACTCGATGCTTCGATTGGGACTGCTTCGCTTGGTACCTTGGATTTTGATACGACAGAAGCGCACTTAGGACTTATTGTTTCCAACACTCCCCTTCGCTTCTGGAGTGTTACTGCTGGTGACGTGGCCTTGTCCAGTCAGCATCATGCAGTATTCGAACTTCTGCTTGCCGAGTTTCTTGGTCAAGTAATCGGCTGCCATCTCGGATGTTGGACAGTATGACAGATCGAGTTTCCCTTTTTCTATCTCGTCCTTCACGAAGAAATAGCGCAGGGCGATGTGTTTCGTCCTGTTTGCGAAGCCGTTTTTGTTGGCGATGCGAATTGCTGACTGGTTGTCGCAGAACACGGTGAAGCTGGGTAACTCGGCTAGCTTCGCTTCTTCCAGTAGTTCGCGAAGGTAAAGTCCCTCCTTGGTGGCTGAGCAGAGTGCAATATATTCTGCTTCTGCTGAAGATAGTGCGATTAACTCCTGCTTGCTCGACTGCCAGGAGATAGGACCGATAGGCTCAAGGCGGTAGACATAGCCGGTGCGTGAGCGCCTGTTGTCGGTGTCGCCGGCGTGATCGGCGTCGACGTAGCCGATTAGCTTAGTCGGTGTAGCTGCGCTCTTGTGGTAGGTTAGCCCGATCGTCGCGGTGCTGACGAAGTAGTGGAGAGCGCGATCAAGTTCCGCCAGGTGTTCAGCTTCAGGCTTCTTGAGATAGGTGGCGAGCTGACTTGCGGAGTAGGATAAGTCAGGACGGCAGGTGACGGCGGCGAATAGCAGGCATCCGAGCTTCTTCTGATAGTCGCGTATGCCGGCGGGCTTTAGTAGAGTAGTTCGTTCCTTCTCGGTTCCTGATGTGTAGCGGTAGGGCGTGGAGATGGCGCTTGGTGTGAGGCTGAAGCGTTTCGCGATGGTGTCGGCGTATTTTTCGGCGCTTAGATAGATGGCGTTTTCTTCTTCGCGGATGTTGAGCCCGAGGTACTGTGTAACGGTGGAGGAGACCGTGAGCGTGAGGTCTTTCTGGAGCTCTCCTTCGAACCACGTGGCGATGCCGTCGGTTGACCCAATGTAGAGGAGATCGTCCACGTAGACGATCAGGAGAACGTAGTCGCTTCCCTTAGTGAGGCGGTACATGCCTTGGTCGTGAGGTAGTTGACTAAAGCCGATGCGGATGAGACGGGCGTGCAGGTACTGCTGCCACAGTCGCGGTGCCTGCTTGATCCCGTAGAGCGATTTAAGTAGTTGACAGATTCGGTTGGGTTCGCCGTGGGAACCGTGCGGGAGCTCGACGTAGATTTCTGCATCCACAGGTGCGTAGAGGAAGGCATTCGCGACGTCGATCTGCCGTAACTTCTTCTTCTTCATGGCGGCAATGGCGAGGAGAATTCGGAGTGACGTGTGGCGGCTGACTGGAGCAAAGGTCTCGGTGAAGTCTCGTCCTTGCTCTTGGTCGAATCCACGTACGACCCAGCGTGCTTTGAATTTTTCGATCGTGCCGTCTGCTTTCGTCTTGATGCGGAAGACCCATTTCCCGGTAAGGATGGTTTTGTTCCGTGCCACGCTTACGGGAACAACCTTCCAAGTGTTGCGTTCCTCTAATGCCTTCAGTTCTCTATCCATGGCTTCACGCCATTTCTCCCTGTGTTCCCCCCCCAGAGCCTGCTGAACCGTTGCAGGCTCCTTAGGAAGCGAGCTGCGTGTGTTCCCGTGGACTGCGGTGACGAGGCCGAGGATTTGCAGCCCAGTCTGTGAGTATCGAGGGAGTTCTGGATCCTCGGGATAAGCTGCTTCGTCTCCCGTTTCTGGGTCGGGCATGAAATTTGGCCCTACCCTTTCTGCTTCGTTGGTGTTGACTGTCAGAGGTGTTACGTAACCATCGTCGGCGAAACGGTAGAAGATTTCGGCGTTGTTACTGTCGCGAGGATTATCCTCATCCATGGGCACGTCGACGGAGCAGTATGGGAGAGGTCCGGCTTCTTCTGAGGCGTTGTCGACGTTCTGTTCATCCCAGTCTGCTTCGTCCGCTGCTGACGCGAAGGCTCGGTCACCACGAAAACCACTGGTGAGGTCCCGATTCTCGTGCAAGTTGGCGAGGTACGTCTGAAGGGTGAGTCTTTCGTAGAAGATCACGTCACGTGCTGCTACTGTTTCCTTTGTGTGGACGTCGAAGATTTTCCATGCGTTGTAATTTTTCTCGATGCCGAGGTGTAGTCCCCACTGTGCCCGTTGCGAAAATCTTCCCGCTCGTGCTTCTGGGGGTCTGTACTGTACCATGCACCCGAAAACTCGTAACATTTTCGTGCTGCCCTGCTTCCCTGTCCACAGCAGATGCGGTGATGCGTTGTTCGGGAGTGACGACGACGACAACAAGTTGTGTAGCATGACAGCGTGGTCCATTGCTGCTGGCCACTGGTGGTTGGGTAGCCGCATGCCACGTAATAGTTTGCGCATGCTGTTCTGCAGGGTCCTGTTCAGTCGTTCTGCAACACCTTGCTGCTGATGTGCGTAGGGAAGGGAGAGGAGTTGCTTGATCCCCCTTTCCGCCAAGAACTGCTTGAAGCGGTGAGAGGTGTACTCGCCACCTCCGTCTGACTGGAAATTTTTCAGTTGTGTTCCAGACTCTCTCTCTGCTATCGGTAGCCAGGCGGCGAATGCTGCGAGCGCCATGTCGCGGCTGGGTAGGTTGCGATGCCAGACGTATCGAGTGGCGGCGTCGATGAAGGTGATGGTGTAGTTGTAGTTGACTTGTCCTGGCTCGCGATTGTAGAGGATGTCGCTGTAGACTTTTTCGAGTGGTGCGTACGCTGGAGCGCTCGGGTTGTGATGTGAAGCAAACGGTCGATGAGGTAAGTCAGCTTCGGGACATATAAGGCAAGTCCCTCGTGCCTTCTGGAGTTCTCTGCCATCGGGTAGAAGTAGAGAATCTTTGTCAAGGACTCCTGCTCTTATCGTGTTATTCAAAACCGTGTTGCTTGGATGTCCTGTTCGTGCGTGCCAGATCTCTTCAGAGGCGCGGTGTCCAGGTGAACGCTGATATGCGTCGGAGTTGGAGTAAAAGCTGGCGACGAGGTTGGCGCTTCGGTGGACTTCACGTTGAGTCGGATTCAGCTGTTTCGCGGGTGTTGGTGGTGCTTCGTCGACTGTGACTGGTGTCGTTGTTCCTGCTGCTGCTGATGTTGTTGCTGCTGCCGATGTTGTTGCTGCTGCCGATGTTGTTACTGCTGCCGATTGTCGAATTGTTGCTAATGCTCGTGTTCGTTCTGCTTCAGGAATGGTGTGCGAGTACCAGAAGCCTCCTGGGCTGAAGTCGGGGTCGAGATCCGGAGGGTGTGTCCAGTCAGTGAAATTCACGATGGCGTCGCTGTCTGCAGTGCCCAGGTCAGGAACGAAGTCGAGGACGAAGACGTTGTTCTTCAGCACTGCTTTCCCGATGTAGAGACCGCCTCTCCCGTGGTAAAGTTTGAACTCCTGGGTCGTGCTGTCGGCTTCCAGATGAATTCCTTTCGCCATCAACTGGCTAACGCTCAGTAAGTTGTAGCCGAGTCCTTCAGCGATGAGTACCTTAGACATGTGCAGTATGACATTTGTTTCTCTTGACTGAAGCTGTACCACTCCTTGTCTTCGTGTGCGCAGGTTTTGGTTGTTGGCAACCGTGATGATCACTTCCCGTTGGAGTCGATGTTCGCGTTGTACGAAACGCCCGGACGAGCACATGTGTTGCCCGCAGCAACTGTCCAAGAACCAGGTGTCTTGGCCGGACGGTTCACTTTGAGCGATGGCGGCGTACGTTGGATTCGGCTGGAGTAGCTCACGGCGAGGCGTTCTGTTGTCAAGCTCTTCTTCCGGTGAGTAGTGTGGTGGTGATTCGGTTGTACATGAATCGGTTATCTTCGTCATGCAGTTGATTATATTTCTTGCTCCTTGTGCAGGTTGTCCGGGTGAAGTCGTTGAAGCTTGAATAGTGGTCGTCGCACTTGCTTGTGTTGAAGTCATTTGGGAGCTTGAAGGTCGAAGTTGTCGCTGTGGTGCCGTTGATTGCTGACGATTCGGGCAGTGTGTGCGCGGGTGCCCTGAAGTCTTGCAGATGTGGCAGAAGGGAGGTACTATCTTCGGTTGCTGCTGTCGGTTGTTATAATTGCTGTGTCGTCGTTGAGTGTGGAATGCGAACTCTGATACTGTCGTTTTCTTCCTGTGTCGTTCTTCCTGCAGGTCCATATCTTGCTGCTCGGCATGTATTTCGGCGCAGAGTGCAGCTTCAGAGATTCTTCCGTGGGCTCGAAGAATGGCTTTGGTGGCGCGCCACTGAGGACCAAGCCCACCAATGATGACTGTCACGAAGGCGTCTTCAGAGATTGACCCTCCGCATCGAAGCAGCTTGTCGCGCAGTTCGCGACATCGGCTGATATACGCCAGTCCTTTTTCTCCTGGTTTCATTTCGACTGTCGTCAACTGCGCCATTAACCTGCTCTGGTTTACACTGTCTGTTGCTTGATACAGGTTCTTCAGATGGCTGTACGCGAGCTCCGCCGAGTTGCCGAAGGTCCGGTAAGAGCGAATGTTCTGCTGCTGAGTTGGTGTCACGTTCCTCAATAGGATTGTATACGCCATCATTGATTGATACGTATACTGCTGCTTTTCATATTGTGTCCCGTTGGCTGGATACTGCAGGGACCCGTCGAAGAAGCCGAGTATCTGCGCGCCCTCCATCATCAGCTCGAATTCAAAGGACCAGGTAAAGAAGTCTTTGCCGTCGAAGGGTCTTGACGTTTGCAGTTTTAAGACGTGTGCAAACTGCGACTGAACTTGAAGTGCGTCCAGTGGTCTTTCTTGTCCAGGTGAAGGTTGCGGGTGGGGCACGAAGCTGATTGACCCGCGCTCGTACGGAGCAAAGGTAGGTTGCTGCTGCTGGTTTCCTCGCGCATATGACGACCCATCAAGACTCATGGGTGTCGCTCCGTTGTTGCTGTTGTGTGTTTGTGCAGGTCCCGACTGCTGGTGTTGTTCGTAGAAGGACATGAAGGAGAAAAATTTCTCCATCATGTTCTGGTCAAAGTCCGAAGGGTGGTTCATGGGGGTCTCGGTTGACGTTCCTCTTGGTCTTGTTGCCGTGCCTTCTTCTGTCTGCAGGCCAGAGGCTGGCGGTGGAGTAGGAGTAGTGCCCGAGGAGCCATTAGGGGAGCTCCTTTCCTTGTTTGTTGCCATGTCTTGTAATGATATTAAAAAAGAGTAGAGTTTCCCTTGTCAGCTCTCATACCATGTTGGGCTGAGATAGCCCCTTAGGATCTTTGCAAGGGATAACTCTAGGTGAAGTGGTTGTAATAGCGGAAGCGTTTAGTGAAGAATTTGAACCGACCTTGCACTGGTGTGTGAGAGCAAAGTTGATTGAATTAAACAAGCAAATACAAGGATTTATATAAGAGTACAGGGAATAGATAGATAACTGTATTGCTGTTGCGGTTCGATATAGCGCGACTCGGGCAACTGCTCTGTAACGAGTCAGTTGTGTGTCCTTAACTGTCGCGCTGTAATTGTCGAGTCAAAGGTCAGCGACCTTTGACTTTCTCGTAACCTCCAGGCGGTTACCCTAATCTCCGAGGTTGACTCGATGCTTCGATTGGGACTGCTTCGCTTGGTACCTTGGATTTTGATACGACAGAAGCGCACTTAGGACTTATTGTTTCCAACAGTGGTGATGGTAGGGGGATGGTGGTGGTGGTGGAGAATTAGTGTGGGCAGGGAATGTTGAGGAGTCTGCTAGTAAGGTCACTAGTTCGCAGGACTGGCTGTTGTTAGGACATATTAGTTATAGCACACTGGCTCAGCTTTCTTATTGTGTTTTACTGAAGAGGTTTGAAAGCTGGCATGCATTAATTCTAATGTATACATCCATCTATGTGAAAACATTGTGAGCTTAGATAGTGATTTGAGCTACATCAATCTCATGGCAGTAAATTTTCTTTACCGTACTTCATCACACCCGTTGAATTAAATACACTACCGTATGGCCTATCCAGCAACAGTCAAAACACCAGGGTACAGGCCAGCCAGCCCTATGCCTGATTCTAGTCTATTCACAACCAGCCAGCCCAGCCACATACTCCGATAGTTTGGTTGGAGGCAGTACAAACAACACCAGTGAGATGAGATATGTACGGTACCAATTTCCGGCTGCTGCTGCTTCAAGGCATGCCCTGCCTACTCTGGCTCTCACTAATTGCGCCCTGTGGCCTCACCTCACACACGACCTGTCCAGCATATCAGCAAGGCACATATCCATGAGGAACCCTCCTCAGGAGGACTGCCTCTTAGCCACATGCCCCGCAGCTCGTGACAGCAAGCCAAACCCCTAACGCGACCCAGGTTCTCGTACGGTATCTCACGACCTGTCCAGCATATCAGCGAAGCAAATGTCAACGAGGAACCCTCCTCAGGACTGCACGTCCAGCTGTTGCTCCCTCACCATACGCACGCTCAATGGGGTAACCTTTTTGTAGGGAGTTTCTGAGAATTCTCAAAAACTCCCTGCAACACAGAATATGTCTGTAAGCCATCTCCCATACACGAGCAGCCTTAAGATCTCAATCTCGCGATGGAGACGAATACCAGTACTGACAAGAAACCCTCCTCCAGTTGCCAAACTCCCTTGCCGCATACCCTGCGACTCATGCCTGTAAGCTTTCGCACTGCATGCAGGCTACAGCACCAGTTTCATGACCTGTCCAGCATGTCAGTAAGATACATATTGACAAGGAACCCGCCTTAGTCATATGCTCTGCACCTTATGACAGCAAGCCAGCCCCTATACGCGAGACAAGCTTTCTTATCTCACGACCTGTCCAGCATATCTGTGAGGTACATGTTCACGAGGAACCTTCCTCGGGACTGCCTCCTTGTCATATGCCCTCCAGCTCGTGACTGCAAGCGAACCCCTATATGCTTCACGAAACCGTACCGTGTATCACGACCTGTCCAGCATATCTGTGAGGTACATGTTCACGAGGAACCTTCCTCGGGACTGCACGTCCAGCTGTCGCTCCCTGGCGGTGTACCGGCCCTTGTGCAGCCGGTACCGGTACGTCACTCCCAGCACCACGTAGCTCTCGCCTTCAATCTCCACCGTCTCGCCGCATTGTGTGTTCTGGAGGGGAACGGAGGGCCATTTGGGGCGAGAGGTTGGGTGAGAGGGTGGATTCGTCGCTCCCAGCACCACGTAGCTCTCGCCTTCAATCTCCACCGTCTCGCCGCATTGTGTGTTCTGGAGGGGAACGGAGGGCCATTTGGGGCGAGAGGTTGGGTGAGAGGGTGGATTCGTCGCTCCCAGCACCATGTAACTCTCTGATAAAAGAGATGTTTTGAGACGTCTCAAAAGTCCCAGCACCACATAACTCTCCCCTTCAATCTCCTCTCTCTTGCCGCATTGGGTGTAACGAGGGGTAGAAAGGGAGTAATTGGATTGAAGTGGGGAAATTGCTCCCTGGCGGTGTACCGGCCCTTGTGCAGCCGGTACCGATACGCCACTCCCAGCACCACGTAGCTCTCGCCTTCAATCTCCACTGTTTTGCTGCATTGTGTGTTCTGGAGGGGGCATTAGGGGCGAGAGGATGGAGGAGTGGGGTTTAATACTCCCAGCACCACACAGCTCTCGCTATCAGTCTCCACTCTCTCTGCTGTATTGAGTGTCCCGGGGGAAAAAAGGGAGCATTTGAAGTGAGCGTGTCGCTCCCTGGCGGTGTACCGACCCTTGTGCAGCCGGTACCAATAGGCCACCCCCAGCACCACGTAGCTCTCGCCCTCGATCTCCAATGTCTCTCCACAATGGGTGTTCTGGAAGGGGGAAACAGAGGAACATTGATGACTGGGGTGGGGGGAGTGGATACGCCACCCCCCAGCACCACATAGCTCTCTCCTGAAAACTTCACTCTCTCTCGCCACACTGAGTGTTCCAGGGGGACAAAGGGAGCATTTGTAGTGAGCGTGTCGCTCCCTGGCAGTGTACCGACCCTTGTGCAGCCGGTACTGGTACGTCACCCCCAGCACCACGTAGCTCTCGCCCTCTATCTCCACCGTCCCACCGCACTGCGTGTTCTGGAGGAGGGAAAGCAGGAAATTTGGAGTGAGAGGGTGAAATAGAGGGTACGTCACACATGCAAAGCTTTCTTGTCGTTTTTGCTTTCCCTCCATCTACACCATCTCGCTGTATTGCGTGTTCTGGAGGGAAAGGAGGGGTTTAGATAAGATTCTGAATCTTTGAACACACATGCAAAGCTTTTTTCTCGTTTTTGCTTTCCCTCTGAGCACCACATGTCCAATAGAAAACAGAGAACGGACAATGGACAAAATACACGTTGAATGACGGTCCATTTATTCCGCTTGCTGAATGGAGTGAGGCAGCCACTCGCTCGCTCCTACACTTTGCTTGATCTCCAACGTACCAGCTATCCTCGTTATAAGCTCACCGGAGGCAGGCAATGAATCCCCAATTCTCTGGCTGGTGGAGTCACAATCTTTATCGCGTACGGATGCTGTGCCACGTCAGCCTTATCGCCACCCGCACTCAGCGGACCACCACCCCTCCCCGCGTCACCATTTCCGCCTCTCTCCCTGTTTCCGCCTCTCTCCCTCTTCCCATCTCCCTCTCTGTTTCCCCCTCTATCTCTGTCGTAAGGCGACGACCTCCCGCGTCTACACTCCACTAGCAACAACGGCGCGCGAGGAGCTGACGCGGCAGCTGACGTTGCAGCAGTCTTCCTATCGTAGAGCGACACGTGTCCTGAAAATGCGGCTCCTGCTGCGATGCTTATGGTGCTACCTCCGGCTCCTGGCGCTCCTGGAATGCGTCCCGTGAAAACAGACTGAAGTAATGAGCAGTTGAAGACAGGGGCTCTTGGATGCGTGGAAGAGGGTTTCGATTTCAGTAAGCACCGCGATGGGGAAACGTGCATTTTGACGGATGGCTTGCTGACAAAACCTGTTGACTTCAAGCTTTGGTAATTGATAGAATGATGGGCGATAGATTCGCGCGAATGTGGTGAATACGGACCCACGCGTAGTGATGAGAACTTATCCGAATCAAATAGACGTGATTATGAGTGAATTCCACGACGGCTGAAACTAGCACTACTCGAAGTAAAAGTCGTTCCAAATACCTCATTAGTTGCCTTGGGCTATTAGCTTCCCTCCTGCCGTATTCTGTCTGTACTCTGTCAGATTTTCTTGAGTCCCGTCAGAAGCAGTACAGTCTGTTGGCGGTTTGGGAAGCGTGATACGCCGAGCACAACGACTAAGGCGGTGCTCGGCAGCACAGGGGATCCACCGAGGGATGGAGGGGGGGATCGAAATTCTCAGCTAGGGTTTCTAGTTCGGGGTGGTCAACTCAGAGTCAACCAGCGTTGACTCCAAGTCTGGGGTCCAGTCGCAAGCGGAACCTTTGGGGGAAAAGGCGCGGATGAGCGATGCGGGAACTGGGGGCCAACGAAACTGCAGCCGCACGAAACGAAACTTCGCGAGCTGAACGGTTTTTTTTTCTCCCTGCCTCATTTTACTGCTGAGATGGGATTGGGTATATCACTTCCCGAAAACATTTAACACCATAAATTTAAATGAATGTCTTAAATGTCGTACTCACCCATTTGACCTTATTGAATACAACTGTTTTGCAATACATTACCGATGTCCGATTTACCCGTCAGTTTAGAGTGTGGGGTACAATCATAAAACAATTTCGTGGTTGAGGGAATCCATTTTATATCCCCCGTGGGTGAGGCCACTCACGGGAGTGCAATTTGGATTCCCTCGGCACTAGGGCGGATTTTTTCCGCCATGGGGGAGGTTTTGGGGGAGGATGCGGCGGGGGTTACCACCTAGCGTGGTGTTCGCGTCGCGTTTTAGGCTTACGTTCGACATTTTTTTCGCATTTTTCTAGCCTGACCGAAGTGTTTTGCCTGGTTCGTACTGGTCGAGCCTGGAGGCTCGCCATTTTGACCCTCCATCAAACCCCCTCCCCTGGCTGCCGAACATCGCCTAGCTGTGAGCATGAACCAGTTCCAAGGTGCCTGGACTGGAGAACGCGTGATTCGATCAGTAGTACACCAATCAATTGATCCCACCTGCGCTGGAGGTGCGTCAGTGTGTCGACGTGGCCATTTGTCATTTTGATGGTCGCCAGCACGGTCGATTGTCAAGAATGATTTTAGTAAGCCAATTTCAGTAGGTCCTTTCGTCAAACGGAGAGGTTTCCCGTAACGAGTACATCCGAAAGGGGCAAAAGTCCGTTTTCGTGAGTTTCAAAGCGGTCATTCCACCCACCAAGTGAGAGGGACAATCAACGGATGATCTTCCCGCCTGCTTCCTAACGAATCGCGTTTTACGCAAACGTCAAACCGCCAACCAATCACGTTCGGACCGCTTATCAACCCCAATCACGTCCACACCACCAACACGGGCCAAATCACCACCCCAACCAGGGCTCCATCCGACCGTCCAATTATATTCCCTTCACGCAATCCAACCATCCAAAATTTGACTTTCCTTTTGTGATTGGTCAGGTCACCGTTAGCTCTTTCCCCTTCCGTCCCGTCGCGGTTCGGCATTCTCAAAGCTCCACCTTCGTGCGTTGGTTTCATCACGGCCATGTCGGCGCCATTTCCCGTCATCCCAAGGTGCGCCCTTGGCTCTCCCGACCGCAATTCCCGGAGAGAAATTCCTCTTCGAGTGTGCCAAAAGGGCCCTGGTTCGCTTCGCTTACTTCTTGGCGGCGCAGGTGCTATGCTAATGCCAGGGCTTCCGTGAGATGCGGCAAACGTCAAAAGCCAAGGCGAAAATTGCCGTCGTTCTGCATTACCCGTGGCTGGTGTGTCGTGCATAGGTGTCTTGAAACAACGCATTTCATCGGGCGTGAAGCTACTCCTTTCCGAAGCTAGTTAGAAACGACATAGTAGAAGCAAGCAAAGCAAACCTTTGCTGTTTTGTTCAACAACAACCTGTTTGGCTCCTACATCTTAGCCAAACCCTCTCCATCCAAACTCACCTGATCGGTGTCTCTAACCCTCTAATCGTCATTCTGACAATGACCAGATTGAGACGATCGTAACTCTCAGCAGTTGTCGACCTGGTGAATTTCGCGTGGATACTGACTCATTCGCCGCAAATTATACGCTTCTACTTACAACCCAATCCCATTCACTCACTATGGCGTCGCGGGTTGACAAGCTTCCGTCAAAATGGTTATTGATCCACTTTTTGGCTTCACTATCAGCCATCATACCGTCAGCCCTTGCCGTCGGCCTCTCAGCACAAGGCCTCACCAGAGTCAGAGAAGCTAAGAGGCCTTCGTTCGCGTTACAAGCATTCTCGCGTCCCGTAAGACGAAGCCTCGCCACAAGCCCGACGACAGCGGCAGTCGATCTGCTCGAGGAAGTGGCCGGCAAGGCGACGGCGCTGAACAAACGCATTTCAGAGGTCAATTACGGGGAACGGGACGCCATCGCCTTTCGAGGGGTCTTGACGGAGGTACGTCAAGAGTTCTGACGGTGGTAAAGTAAGCTTGGAGTCTACAGGCGTCACTCCCTCGCCCCTTTCTGCGGCCTTCAGAGCCGTTCTTATTCGTTAAGAACATTGTTCCTTATGTCGCTTGAATGGATTATGAACTGCAGTGCAGGAAGTGCAAGCTCGAAACATCTCGGGTTCTCTCGTTCCTCTCTCCCTGCCCTCACAGGCATCGCTCATCGTCAAGAACCTTGATTCCGCCACCAGCAACCTCGCCGAGGCCGTGCGCGGCGGCCCAAACAATATCGACCGTAAGGAGCTCAACGAAGCGATCGCAGCCGTCGGATTCGCGCAGTCGAGCGAGAACTACCTTGAGATTGCCTTGCAGGGAAATTTTCGCACCGTCAGCGACAAAACGATCGGGCAACTACAGACGGCTGCTGCCGCCCTGGGCGACGATCTCAAGGCCGTTCGAGCCGTCCTCCTTGAACTCAAAAATCTTAACATCGAGCGGGCCTTCTCCGCTGCGCTCTCGACGGATCAGTATCAGCCACCTAGCGAGGCTTTCGACCGGCACCAATCCCTGACCGAGGTGTTCCAATCCCAGCTCGCCAATTCCAATAACGCGGATAAAAAAGACAAGCCGACGCCGAAGTCGAAGGTAGACGTGAAGGGTAGGCCCGTGGGTCACCACCCCCCTGGCGTGGGTGGTAAGGGAGGGAAGAACGTTGGGAAGTACGAGCCAGAGAAGGGACACCACCCAAAGGGAAAGGGCGGCCATTCAGAGCCAGCCGATCAGAAGACCGTTAAGAGCGGCACTGCCCAGGGCAGTCAAGTAACCTCTAAGAGCCCACCTAGGAGCCCCGCTAAGAGCCCCGCTAAGAGCCCCGCTAAGAGCCCCGCTAAGAGCCCCGCTAAGAGCCCCGCTAAGAGTCCCGCTAAGAGTCCCGTGAAGGCTCCTATTAGGGCGAATACCGGGTACAGATCGGTCCGAACGGCGTCTGTAAAGGCGGATAAGACGGTCGCTCAAGACGGCAGCGGCGACTATAAGAAGCTACAGGATGCTATAAATGCGGTGTCGGACAATTCCGTCATTTATATCAAGGCTGGAGTGTACAACGAGATGGTGTCTATATACAAGAAGGGGATTACTCTTATCGGGGATGGCATTGACAAGACCATCATCACTGGGTCCGCTAGCTACTCGTCAGGATACGATATCATCACGTCTGCCACTATCGGTAAGCAGCTCCAGTTTTACATCACATGTGTGTTTTCAATCCAATGCTCATCTAAACACACGGGTGTTTCCCCACACCACCACCACCTCCAGGCCCACCCGGCCCCAGCTGTCTCCCCCCCTGTCCCGCCCTTCTCTTCGCCCCTTTTTTCATAATATGTCTCGCATCATCCAATCACATTCTCCCTGCGTGTATTTTCGCGTTGTTTTACTCTCTTCCCCCATCCTCCTCTCCCTCGTCTTTTGTTTCGCTACGCAGGCGTAAACGGTAACAACTTTGTCGCGAAGTACATGACCGTTCGCAACACTGCTGGTCCCGCGGGACTTCAAGCTGTCGCCCTGCGCCTGGACTCCGATCAGGCTGCACTGTACCAGGTCAAGGTTACCGGCTACCAAGATACACTCTTCTGCTCCACTGGCCGTCATTATATCAAAAACTGCATTATAGAGGGCACTGTGGACTTCATTTTCGGTTACGGCGCAGCGGTGGTGCAATCATCCACACTCAACGCGCTGAAATCTCCCACCTATACGACAACGGTTCTGGCCTCTGGGTGTTACCAGTCCGGAGCGCTCTGTGGAATTGTGGTGGTGGACAGTAAAGTGAATGGTGACTACGGCGATGTGTACTTGGGCCGGCCGTGGAAGGAGTATGCTACCATGGTGTTTATCAATACTGAACTGCCTGCGGTGAGTGTAACCATGATGTTGGCTCGTCTGAGCTGTGGTTTGCGTTCGTGTTTCCCGTGTGCGAATGCTCAAGTTTGTTGCATCTCCAGTATTCTGTGTTGCCATGCTCCTCCCTCTTGCCACCATCCATTTTCCCATTTGTTACTATTTTTCACTCGGTTTGTTTTGCATTGTTCTGCGCTGTGGATTTGCAGAAGGTGAACAAGAACGGGTGGATGCCCTGGAAAGTCTCTGAGACGTTTGGTGGGAAGCCATTCTTGGCGGAGTATGGCAGCAGGGGCAGTGGTGTCCAGTCATCAAGAGTGTCGTGGGCGAGACCTGGCGTGGTTTCTTCATTATCACAAGTCAGCAAGTACTCGCCCAATAACTTCCTCTCTCTCAGCTCGTGGATCGGCAAGACAGGGATCCCAGCGTGACTTACCATCCAATGCCACACCATGTTATGAAACATGGTGCATTACTAGGATCTGGTCTCCTGAACTAATTATTTTGATGATTCAGGGTCATTAGTCAAACGAGTCATTAGTCAGCTAATAAAAGAAACGGCTATTTCAAAGGTGGCTGTGACATGTGCTAATGAAGGAAGGAACGTCACTTGTTGCGATGCTTTGGAGGGACACGCTAGCTGTTCTCTCCCTGCCACTCAGGTCAGGAGAGAGAGGTCACAATGATGATTTGAAATGATCAATGTGCAGCGTCCAGGATCAATGCTAGCTGCTGGCAGAAAAAAATATTACTCATCAAGAGTTCCAACACACAAGCCATGAGTGGGGTGATAAGAATCTGTCAGGGGTGCAACACGATGGATAAGGGTAGCAGTCGGTCAGAGGTGAAAACTGAAACCGGCATATTGATTTGAAGTTCGCCGAATCCGCAAAATTGGTAGCCCGTTCTGGGTGAAGCGCAGTTGTCTTGTTCATCACCTCACCACCCCCACTGCATTTTGGAGGTGCACGTACGTGGCGCTCAGTGATAGGCCTACTCCCAGCCTCAAGGATCAAACTCACATCGTGATAGCGTGAGCTACACACAGGCACCGCACAATTCACAACTCCCTCACATGGCACGCAAAACCACGGAACGAACAGTCGTGAAACCAACAGGTGAAAGAGAAGAGGCGTGGATTTGGCCCTTGACCACAAGCCCCATCAATTAATCGCAAAAATTCGCGAACATCAACCATTGGAGGCGCGTACACGCGAGAACGATAGAGGAGCTTCGTTCATGTGGTTACCGTCGCATATCCCCCCTGATTCCTGAACTTCGTTCGCGACGATGTCCCACACATTCATCTGTGAAGCACCTGGGCTTATTTGGCTGACCCTGGCTAGAAGAATTATAGCAATGACATTCCGTGAGGTATCGTGAACTACGTATAGTCTTAGACCGACGTGGAAGGGAGCCGCAAAAAGTGTGACGAGCAATCACGGTGTTTTCTGAGATGAGATAGGGAGCGAGGTTGGATGTCTTTTAGGGTACAGCCGTCGAAGGAGGCTTAAAGTTAGTGATATTTGAGTGAGGATAACTGAGTGACTTTTGGTTGCTTGACTGGCAATTAACTAGTTGATCGCATTCTTTTGTTAATCTGCAGATTCACCTTTCCGCTGCAGAGTCCAGAAGCTTTCTCTATGTGTCATCGCACTGGTACATTCGGAATGGTCGTGCTAGATTTCGGGGTTTGAAAAATACAGGGGGGTTTGTCGGAGTTTTTTTTCAGAAGAATTTCACTATTTGGACATTCAGGCACCTGCGCAGCAAGGTGAGAGCTTCAGTCTAGAGACGGAACCACAGCACAATGCCTGGGTCTCCAGACGAACTTCGCTTCTAGAAAGAACTTAATTCAGTATTGGCTGTATCACCACCCATTGTGCAGTAATCTCCGCACTTGATTGGTGGCTTAAAGAGACTTCACGCACTATTTTACAACCCTTCTCCAGATGGCGACCGCGGCTGCTGCTGCTACGGCTGCTGCTGCTTCTTCTGCTACTGCTGCTGCTGCTGCTGCTGCTGCTGCTGCTGCTGCTGCTGCTGCTGCTGCTGCTGCTGCTGCTGCTGCTGCTGCTGCTGCTGCTGCTGCTGCTGCTGCTGCTGCTGCTGGTGGGCAAAGCTTGTTGACTGGTGCTCACATGTTCGTCACCTCGCTCCTCTTCTCCATGGCTACTGGCCCCGGCTGGACCGCGAACGACTGTGAGACTCTTTGCATTTCCTTGATTGTAATATTTTCCTGCATATGAGCTCCGTTGGCTGTGTGATACATACCTATGTCGTTGATGTGTAAGGGTTAAGCATAAGTCTGCCATGATGCGGTGATTCTGGCATGATGCAGCAATTCTGGCATGACGCAGTGATTCTGGCATGATGCAATGATTCTGGCATGATGCAGTGATTCTGGCATGATGCGGTGATTCTGGTATGATGCGGTGATTCTGGCATGATGCGGTGATTCTGGCATGATGCGGTGATTCTGGCATGATGCGGTGATTCTGGCATGATGCGGTGATTCTGGCATGATGCGGTGATTCTGGCATGATGCGGTGATTCTGGCATGATGCGGTGATTCTGGCATGATGTGGTGATTCTGGCATGATGCGGTGATTCTGGCATGATGCGGTGATTCTGGCGTGATGCGGTGATTCTGGCATGATGCAGTGATTCTGGCATGGATACGTCGCTATCATCTCAATCCCCCACAGAAACCCGCTTGTCAACTTCCTATTATCCTTCCCACCCACCTTCGTTTAGCCTCCAGCCAGAAACTCATCATCCGTTCAACGGACGAAAATCCAATCCACTCCTTCATCTCAATCCCCTTCGTCCCTCCCTGCTTTCCCCCCTGCTGTGAAACGGTGTGACGGTGTGTCCCCCTCCTCCCCCCCCCCCCCCTCCCCCCCCCCCCCCTCTCTCGCCCTCCCCAGTTCCTTTGCTTTTGAATCTTTCTGGCCAATTTCTGTTGCCCGAATAACCTGTACAGACTTCTGAGGCGTCTCACAAGTCAACTTCTGTGACCCGAATGACGCGTACGGTCCAGCTGCATCATCACCAGCAAGCCCCCAAACACGCCCCCCGCCTTCTCAACACTCCCCCGTACAACCCCCTGCCTTTGCAGCTTTCTGGGCCAACTTTTGTGGCCCGAATGACCCGTACACTCCAGCCTGCATCAGCGGCAACCCTCTCTTCAGTCACAGCCACCAGTTTCTCCAACTGCAGAACGTCACACAGTCGCTCGTGGCACCGTCAGTATCACCATCCGGTTTCACACCCTCTCAAGCTAACGCCTTCCAGAATTCCACGTGGCACTATTCCCTTGTGCCACATCCGCAGCAGCTCCACCCGTTTTCCCCGGATACTCCCCCCTCGCTCCTCCACCCGTCCTCCCCTCTTCCCTGGAGCTCTCTCGAGCAAATTTCAGCGTCGTTTCAACGGGCAGGCAAAGAAAGTTTTCTGCCCAAATGGATCCATATATTCTCTCTCTCCCCCTGCCTCCAACACGCTTCCTTCCTCTTCCTCTCCTCCTTCCTCCTCCTCGCCACCCTCTCCCACATACTCATCCTTCCCAAACCTAATCCCGAACCTAGCGCCAAGCCAAACTACCAGCCCCGTAGAGCACAGAATGGTGAGGAGAGACCAGCAGGTACGGTGGAGAGGGGTGAGAGGAGAGTGAAGGAACGGAGACAAGGCAGGGCATGTGGGAAGGGGGAGAGAGGAGAGGAACGGAGGGAAAGGGGGGGACAGGGGGGAGGGGAGGTGTGGCGTGCAGGCATGCTGTTTTGGCCGGAGCTCCTTTTCTCTCTTGCTGCTTCTATCTGCTGGGCGGGGCTGCTTCTAGGGGAGATATTTTCCGCCTTGTCGGCAACAGGCCACGTCCTTGTATTGCCCCACGAGCTGGCATACGCAGCAGGGCAGGCTGTCACGTACGCGCTGGCAGCAGCAGTCCTGCTGCTCTTCCAGAGAAGGCGGGATGTGACTGTGGTTGGGTCGGCACGCGTCTGGCTGTTTCAGAACGCTGTGCTTATGCTGCTGCTCTCCATGGTGATTCTGCTCCGGCTCTGGAGCAAGAGACAAAGGACGGATTTGTGGGAGGGATTTGGTTCGGGTCCTGGTTTGGAATTTGGTTCGGGATCGGGTTCTGGATCTGGTTTGGGATCTGGTTTGGGGGCTGGTGTGGGGTCTGGTTTGGGATTTGGATTTCGAGATTGGAAGGAGGAGAAGGTGACAGCGTGGAGCGATTTCCTGACACTTGGCAGCTTGCCATTGGCTCTTTTCTTGGGGGTGGTTGGTGTGCTAGGAAGGCCTGGTTGGGCTCGTTTGAACCGAGGAATGGGGGAGAGGCGAGGACGAGAGGAAGGAGAAGAGATGGTGGAGGAGGGGGAACAGCAGGAGGTGGGTGAGAATACTATTGAGGAGGGTTTGGGAAGTAGGGTGCGGAATGGGAGAGCTTTGCTTACGATTGAAGACGAAAGTGGTTCTGAAGAGGACAACGAGTCTGATACTAGTGAGGATGAGGAATGTGAGATGCTAGCGGGCATGCAAGAAGGAAACAGGAACATGCAGGCTTCTCCCTACGCCAGTGCAAATTGGCTGTCACACCTCGCTTTCTCCTGGGTCTCTCCTCTTCTCGAAACAGGCAACCAGAATCTGTTGCTTCAGCAGCAGCAGCAGCGGGATAGCCACAGCAGCGAGTTGGAACCAAGGGATCATCAGAAGCAGCATGTGATTTCACTAGAGGACGTGCCGAGCCTGCCAGCTTCTCAGGGCTGTGAGGCCCAGTTTCATGCCTTTGATGCGTGCTGGCAAACGCAGCTTGCACTGACTGCAGGCACTGCTGCTGCTGGGGGTGCCGCTGCTGCTGCTGGTAGTGCTGCTGTTGCTGGTAATGCTGGTACTGCTGCTGCTGATACTTCTGCTGGTGGTGGCACCGGTGGTGCTGATTCCACTATCACGACTCCACTGCTAGCGGGCCATCAGCACAAGCATCAGCATCAGAACCAGCAGCAGCACCAGAACCAGCAGCAGCACCGCTCCTCCATTCTCCCCCGTTTCATCACCAGCACCACCAGCAGCATCAGCAGCAGCAAAACGCCCTCAGTAGCCCGTGCGCTGCTGGCCTGCTTCTGGCGCCCCCTCCTCACCACAGGCCTGCTGGTGCTGCTCAAGTGTGCGGTCATGTACGCGGGCCCGCTGCTGCTCTCCCGCTTTGTGGACGTTGCTGCGGGCAAGCAGCTATTTCAAGGCGAGGGCGTGGCGCTTGTGGCGCTGCTGCTGCTGGCTAAAGCGACAGAAACGGCTGTGGGGCATCAGTTCAACTTCCAGACACAGGTGAGGAGTTGGGTGCGGTTGTGCTCTCTTTAGGATGGCTAAGTCCTCTCTCTCTCTCTCTCTCTTTCTGGGGGTTGCATGGGAGTGCAGGTACGGTTGGTTGGGTACGCAGTAGGGTGGGGAGAGCTGAAAGGCTGGAGGAGATTTTCTAGAATTCTCACTTTTTGAGGCGCCTCAAAATTCTCTAAACTTTCCTGCGTACGGTTGGTTGGGTGCACAGTAGGATGTGGAGAGCTGAAAGGCCCTTGCAGGTTGGCTTGGGAGAGCTCTGTTTGTGTGACAGACAGCCCCCCCCTCGCTCGCCTCGCCACAGGGCAGGCCGGTCATGCACGCGGGCCCCCTCCTCTGTCTTCCGTGGGAGGGACAAATGTTCCAGTGTATGTTTTTTGAGAATTCTAAAAAAAAAAACACTGGAGAGCTCTGTTTGTGTGATGTGACAGCCCCCCCCTCGCTCGCCACAGGGCAGGCCGGCCATGCACGCGGGCCCCCTCCTCTGTCTTCTCCTTCTTCTTCCCTCCTCTTCCTCCCACCTCCACACCGGCCCTGGGTCTGGATAGTCGAGCAGCACTAGTGGGGGAGCCCTCTCGTGGAAATATCACAAGGGCTTGCGGCTGTCGAGCAGGGCGAAGCAGCGGCACACAGTGGGCGAGGTGGTGAACTACATGTCCACTGATGTGCAGCGCCTACTGCCTCTGGCTGAATTGTCTTGTGATCTTCTCTCCCTCCCTGCCTTTCGCACTCAGGCGCTGGGTCTTGAGATTCGAGCAGCGCTGGTGGGAGCGCTGTATCAGAAAGGCTTGCGGCTGTCGAGCAGGGCGAAGCAGCGGCACACAGTGGGCGAGGTGGTGAACTACATGTCGACAGACGTGCAGCGCCTGGCAGACCTCATGCTGCAGCTGCACAACGTGTGGGTGCTGCCCCTGCAGATCGCCATCGCCCTCGTCATCCTCTTCCATGTGAGACCCGCACACATGAGGCTGAACGCGTGAGGCCTCACAAGGCTGGGTTGGGTTGAACGCACGCACGCACCCACACACCCCCCCGCACACACACACACACACGCACGCACGCACGCACGCACGCACGCACGCACGCACGCACGCACGCACGCACGCACGCACGCACGCACGCACACACACACACACACACACACATCGGTGGGGGGGTGGGGGGTTTGGGAGGTGGTGAACTACATGTCGCCAGACGTGCAGCGCCTTGCAGACCTCATGCTGCAGCTGCACAACGTGTGGGTGCTGCCCCTTCAGATCGCCATCGCGCTTGTTATCCTCTTCCATGTGAGACACGCACATACACATGAAGGGTAAGGTGCCAGACGTCACACCAAGGCTGTTCTTAGTTGCACGCACGCACACACACCGTGCAGCGCCTGGCGGACCTCATGCTGCATCTGCACAATGTGTGGGTGCTGCCCTGCCCGTGCAGATCACGATCGTGCTCGTTATCCTCTTTTGAGACGTCTCAACGATCGTGCTCGTTGTCCTCTTCCACTTCTGAGGCGCCTCAAAAGCCCTGCCCGTGCAGATCACGATCGTGCTCGTTATCCTCTTTTGAGACGTCTCAACGATCTGTCACAGAACATAAAGGTAAAAGCATTATGTTCTGTTACATGCTTGTGAGGTGTAGAGGGGTGTAGCTTGTAGTATTCAGTTTCAGCGAGGGTTGGTTGGGTTCTGGAGGGTGACGTGAAGTTGGTAGAATAGGGCACTGCTGGGTACAAAGGGGTTGGATTCAGAAAGCCTCGAGAGACAGGAAATCAGGATCGGCCAATCCAAGGCCCAGGCGACTCGAGCCCAATTCACTCGCCAAGAAATTGGCAACACGGGTGAGGGTGAATAAAGTAGCCTAGGGTAGCAATCGCATCCCTTTTCTCTCGTTTGTTTGCCTAAAATAGTGGATTTACGTTGCCGTTCTAACGCTACAGCAGCTAGGTGACTAGGCCACTAAGGGCAGCCATCGTGTGGGAGCCAGAATCTCTCACAGGTAGTGGCTGAGTACGAAGAAGGGAACCAGGGGACAGGGACAAGATAGATGCAAGGGTGAGAAGGAGAAAGCAGCAGGAGTACAAGGACAGAAGCAGGTAACGCAAGAGGGGTTTCTCCGACAGATCGTGCTCGTTGTCCTCTTCCATGTGAGACACGGCACGACGCGTATGCGCCTCGGACAAAACTAGTAGTGTGTAGGCGGATGGCCATGCCTGATATCAAATCTGTCTTGAGACGTCTTAGATAAAACTCAACCAACCCTTTTGAGATGTCTCATATGACTTAACGGTTGTTTTTCCTGCCAACCATCCCTTCACCCCTCTCCCCTCGCCCCCTCCCCCTCCCAGGTGGTGGGGGCGAGCATGGTGGCGGGGTTGGCAGTGATGGTGGCAGCGCTGCTGCTCAACCTCCTCATAGCAGCTTCTCTACGTGCCACAGTGGGGCACATTCTTAAAGCCAAGGACCGCCGCATGAAGGCCACGTCGGAGGTGCTCTCCTCCATGCGGGTCATCAAGCTGTACGCCTGGCAGCCCTTCTTCGAGAATCAAATCAAATCTCTGCGTGCTGCCGAGGCCAGTTGGCTGGCAAGGTATGTGCTGGGATGGGAAAGAGGAAGGAGGAGGGTTGGGTCGCTTCAGTGCTGTGGTGGTTGGGTCGCTGCTGTCGCCTCTGAGGCACACCTGTCAGTCACCACATGAAGGCCACCTCTGAAGCGCTCTCCTCCATGCGGGTCATCAAGCTGTACGCCTGGCAGCCCTTCTTCGAGCACCAAATCAAATCTCTCAGGAGCGCTGAGGCCGGCTGGCTTGCCAGGTAATGTGCTGGGGAAACTGGGGGGGCTGGGTGTGCCGCGCACGGGGCTGTTTTCACTTCCATCGCCACCTTCTCTAACAGGCTAACACCTTCTTTAAGGGGTGCTGAGGCCGGCTGGCTTGCCAGGTAATGTGCTGGGGAACCGGGGGGGTTGGGTGTGCCGCGCACCCTGGGGGGCTGTTTTCACTTCCATCCCCACCTTCCCTAACAGGCTAACACCTTCCCTCCTTACCACTTCCCTTCCTCCCGCCCTGCTCTCCCTCTCCTCCCGCTTCTCCCTCTCCACCCTCTCCCCCCTCTTTCCCCCATCCCCTATTCCCCGTCCCCGATCCCCCATCCCCCATCCCCCATCCCCCATCCCCGATCCCCGATCCCCGATCCCCCATCCCCCATCCCCCATCCAACCCTCTCTAGGTACATGGCGATAGGGGCGGCCAACATCTGTCTGCTGTGGCTGTCGCCTCTGGCCGTGTCGGTGGGGACCTTCGGCGCCATGGTGCTCGTGGGTGTGCCGCTCACCCCTGGGGCTGTTTTCACTGCCATCGCCACCTTCCGCATCCTACAGGTGAGAAGGTGGGGAAGAGTGGGAGAGTGGGGATTGGGGGTTGGGGTGAGTGTGAAGGGGGACAAGGGGGTTCAGCATTTCTCATAGTCCCACCTGCCATGGTGCTCCTGGGTGTTCCGCTCACCCCCGGGGCTGTTTTTACTGCCATCGCCACCTTCTGCATCCTACAGGTGAGGGGACTGGGAAGAAGGGGCGAGAAGAGGAGGGGTGGTGGGGATTGCAGGGTTGGGGGAATTGAAGGGGGACAGTGGGGGCGGCCATCAGTACTCGTGCCACTTGTCAAGGTGCCGAGTCTGTTTTCACTGCCATTACCGCCAAGTTCCGGATGGATTGGCGTGTTTCCCCACCTTTCTCATTCTTCAGGTGAGGGTGTTTACCACCTCATTATCTCGTTGGGGCCGCCGCAACAATCCCCCTTTCACCACCCTCCTCTCTCATCCCCTCTCATTTTGAGGCGCCTCAAAACTAGACTCGTTTTGAGGCGCCTCAAAACTAGATGCCGCGACAATCTCCCTTTCACCACCCTCCTCTCTCATCCCCTCTCTCCGCCCTCTCGTCTCCCTTTCCTCTTACAGGAGCCGCTGCGCTCGTTCCCGTCGGTGGTGGCGGCTCTAGCGCAGGCCATGGTGTCACTCAAGCGAGTCACCACCTTCCTCCTAGAAGAGGAGATTCAGAGCGATGCTGTGACTCGCGTGGATGGCCCGAAGGAAGGGCTGGGGAGTGGGGGACAAGGAAGGGAAGAGAGGAGGGATGGCGTGAAGGGTGTGGCAAATGATGTGGTGGTGCGGGTGCAGAATGGTGTGTTTAGCTGGGAGGGCGATGCTAGCAAGCCGACACTGAATGGAATCGAGTTGGAGATTAAAAAGGGGATGAGGGTGGCTGTGTGTGGAGCGGTGGGGGCGGGCAAGTCGAGCCTGCTGGCGTGCCTGCTAGGGGAGATGCCCAAGATAAGAGGCAAGGTGAGATGTGGCACCTTTTCCTGTGGGGAAGTGTGTTGCTTTCTTAAAAAAGCTTGAAAACGGTGGGAGCAGGCAAGTCGATACTGTTGGCGTGTCTGTGTCTTGTAGGGGAAATGCCCAATTTGAGCGGCAAGGTGAGAAAGTGAAGCAATGCAAGGTAACGTTAGTCGCTGTGTGCTTCTGGCATTTCAGGTCACCCTAGTGGGCTGCACGGCCTACGTGCCACAGTCCGTATCGATTCAGAACGCCACCTTTCCCTCCCCAACCCTTTCCCCCCCCACGTTGACCTCTCTTCTCCCCCAGCCCCCCACATTCTGGCATTCCAGGTCCTCATAGCAGGCCGCACGGCCTACGTGCCACAATCCGCATGGATCCTGAACGGCACCGTGCGCCACCTCTCCCCACCATCTCCCGCACCGCTCCACCACAACCTTCCCTCTTCCCCCCCCGTGCCATCTCCAGGTCCTCATAGCAGGCCGCACGGCCTACGTGCCACAATCCGCATGGATCCTTTCTCACCTGGATTATGAATTCCAGGATCCTGAACGCCACTCCTTTCTCACCCTCCCTCTTCCCCGCGTTGACCTTTCTCCCCCACCTCTCCCCCATTCTTCCATTTCCAGGTCACCCTGGCGGGCCGCACAGCCTATGTGCAGCAGTCCGCATGGATCCAAAACGCCACAGTGCGCCACCTCTCATCTCCCACACAACCTACCTTCTCCTCCACCCTGCGCCAATTCCAGGTCACCCTGGCGGGCCGCACAGCCTATGTGCCGCAGTCCGCATGGATCCAAAACGCCACAGTGCGCGACAACATTCTTTTCGGGCAGCCCATGGACCGGGCGCGCTACAGCCGGGTGCTGCAGCAGTGCGCGCTACAGCCAGACCTGGCGCTGCTGGCCCACGGGGACGCCACGCAGATAGGCGAGAGGGGGGTGAACCTGAGTGGCGGGCAGAAGCAGCGGATACAACTGGCCCGGGCAATGTATGCGGGGGGAGGGGGAACTGAGGCAGGGGGGACTGGGGGAGGGGGGACTGGGGGAGGGGGAATGGGAGGAGGGGAAACGAGGGAAGGGGGGCCTGAGGGAGGCATGCGAGATGGAGAAGCAGGAGGGAAGCACGGGGAGAGGGCGGATGGAACCGGGGTTGCGGAGGAGCAAGGAGGAGTGGACGGGCAAGGGGGTGATGCGGAGGTGTTTCTATTGGATGATCCGTTCAGTGCCGTTGATGCTCACACGGGCTCGCAGCTCTTCACTGTGAGTTTGCTGATTCACTCGGGATCAGCACTGCCACAGTACCACTACATACCAACACCCCCTATCCACACAAGCAACGATTTTCATCATTTTCCTTTGATTCTTACTTCCAGGCATGTTTTGAGGCGCCTCAAAAGATTCTTACTTCCAGGCGTGTGTGCTGAGGGGCCTGTGTGGAAAAAACTGTTTCGATATGCCTCAAAGAAAGGCAGACTTCCAACTCCCCCACCTTCCTCCTCTCCTCTCTCCCCTCTTCCCGCTCTGCTCTCCTCGTGCCAGCGTCCTGAGGGGCCTGGCGGGGAAGACTGTCGTTCTGGTGACGCACCAAGTGGACTTCCTGCCTGTCTAGACCTCATTCCCACCTTCCCACTCCCTCCTCGCTGCCCCTTCCTTCCTCCCCTCGTGGCAGGAGTGTGTGCTGAGGGGCCTGGCGGGGAAGACTGTCGTTCTGGTGACGCACCAAGTGGACTTCCTGCCTGCCTAGACCTCATTCCCACCTTCCCACTCCCCCCTCGCTGCCCCTTCCTTCCTCCCCTCGTGGCAGGAGTGTGTGCTGCGGGGCCTGGCGGGGAAGACTGTCGTTCTGGTGACACACCAAGTGGACTTTCTGCCGGCCATGAACCTCATTCCCACCTTCCCACTCCCCCCTCGCTGCCCCTTCCTTCCTCCCCTCGTGGCAGGAGTGTGTGCTGCGGGGCCTGGCGGGGAAGACTGTCGTTCTGGTGACACACCAAGTGGACTTCCTGCCCGCTATGGACCTCATTCTGGTAACCACCTCCCCTTGCTCAATTCCGTTGATTTGATTGAGCTGTTTAGAACATATTCTTCTCTTTTGGCTTACAAACAGCCTGGTGACACACCAAGTGGACTTCCCGCCAGCCGGTCTTGTGACATGATTTCTCAGCGAGCTGCAAACTTAGTCACGTGACGCATGGTGACTTTTGAGTCGACTCAAAAGTCACCTTGAGTCGACTCAAAACTCTTGTGACATGATTTCTCAGCGAGCTGCAAACTTAGTCTCGTGACACACCAAGCGGACTTCCCGCCAGCCATGGAACTCATTCTGGTACTGCCTCTCGCATGAACCCGTTGACCTGGTTGACTCTGTTGACTCTGTTGACTCTGTTGCCTCTGTTGACTCATTTGATTGGTTAGAGTATGTTTCAGCCTGGTGACACACACCAGGTGACCTTCCTACCTGCCTGCCAACCATGCACCTCATTCTGGTGCCGCCCCTTGATTGAATCCGTTGACTCTGTTGACTTGTTTCAAGGATTTGATTCTGTTGAGGCTAGGGTAGATGCCACATGTTCCGATGCCACATGTTCTGATGCCACATGTTCCGATGCCACATGTTCCGATGCCACATGTTCCGATGCCACATGTTCCGATGCCACATGTTCCGATGCCACATGTTCCGATGCCACATGTTCCGATGCCACATGTTCCGATGCCACGTGTTCTGATGCCACTGGCGGCTGCTTCTTTTTTCCCGCACCCAACCCCCCCCTCTCTCTCCACACACTGAGGTGATGAGGTGGGGCAGAATCGTGCAGAGTGGGGGTATGACGACCTTCTGGCACAGGGGACGGATCTCTCCTCTTTTGTATCCCCACATACTGATTTCACTGGCGCCTCCTTCTCTCTGCTCCCTCCGCTCCACAGGTGATGAGGTGGGGGAGCATCGTGCAGAGTGAGCATCAGGCGAACCGAACAGGTGTTCGTTTTTTTGCTCAACCCTAGTGGGCGGTATGACAACCTGCTGGCACAGGGGACGGATTTCTACTCCCTTGTGGACGCTCATAGAGATGCCATGCACTCCCTTTCTGCCAACGCCACTGCTGCTCCCCACAGGTGATGAGGAAGGGGAGAATCGTGCAGAGTGGGCGGTGCGAGGAGCTGCTGGCACAGGGAACGGATTTCTCCTCTTTTGTGTCCCCACATACTGATTTCACTGGCGCCTCCTTCTCTCTGCTCCCTCCGCTCCACAGGTGATGAGGTGGGGGAGCATCGTGCAGAGTGAGCGGTGCGAGGAGCTGCTGGCACAGGGAACGGATTTCTCCTGTTTTGTATCCCCACATACTGATGCGTATTCCCCTCCTGCCCCTCCCCACCATCGTCTCCTTCCCAACCCCCCACAGGTGATGAAAGAGGGGAGCATCGTGCAGAGTGGGCGGTACGAGGAGCTGCTGGCACAGGGAACGGACTTCTCCTCGGTATGAGGAGCTTCTGGCACAGGGAACGGACTTTTCCTCGGTATGAGGAGCTTCTGGCACAGGGAACGGACTTCTCCTCGGTATGAGGAGCTTCTGGCACAGGGAACGGACTTCTCCTCCCTCGTATCCATACGTGCTGCTGATGCCACTGATGCAGTCTTTGTCCTTCCCTCCCTTCGTCTTTCCGTTCTCTTCCCTCGCACATGCACAGGTGATGAAAGAAGGGAGCATCCTGCAGAGTGGGCGGTATGAGGACCTGCTGGCACAGGGAACGGACTTCTCCTCCCTCGTGGACGCTCACACCGATGCCATGCACTCCCTTGCTGCCACCACCACCACCACCACCGCTGGTCCCGCTGCTGCTGCTGCTGCTAGTGCTGCTGGTGATGGTGATGCTGCTGCTGCTGCTGCTAAATATGCCTCATCTGCTGTTAAAGCTGCACCTGCCTCTGCGGATGCAGGTTCTCCTACTCCCTCCCCCTCCTCCTCTGCTCCGCTCACCCATCCCTCGTCCATTTATTCTGCTTTATCTGACGTGGGGCGAGCCTCACGAGGCGATCGAGGCAAAGGGAAGCAGGAAGAGTGTGCAGAAGTGAGGGTGGTCGAGAGGCAGGACGAGGAAACAGGCACAGGGCAGAAGCACAGCAGCGGGAATGGTAACAGCAGCAGAAAGAGCAGCACTAGCAGGCGCAAGAACAAGGAGAGTGGTACGAAGGCGAGAACGGGCCAGCTAATTAGCGAGGAGGAAAGGTCATCGGGACGCGTGGCATTTGCTGTGTACTGGGCGTATCTCACCACAGCCCTTGGATGCTGGCCCATCCCTGCACTCCTATTGGTCCAGATCCTCTGGCAGGCGCTGCAGATCGGCTCTGATTGGTGGCTTGCCACCTACACATCCTCCTCCTCCTCATCTTCCTCTTCCTTTTCCTTCTCCTCCTCCTTCTCCTCCTCCTCCCCCCCTTCCACCACCATTCCCTCTTCTCTAATCCCCTTCTCTGTCACCACTTCCTCCTCCCCCATCGATCTGCTAGCTCCATCCATCTCCCCGGTGGGCTTTCTGCGGGTGTACGTGCTGTTGGCACTGGGCAGTGTGCTCTTTGTGCTGCTGCGCACGGTGGCAGTCTCCTGGATGGGGTGGGAGACAGCGCAGGCGCTATTTGCCCGCATGCTGCACGCTGTCTTTCGGGCGCCCATGAGCTTCTTTGACTCCACTCCTGCAGGAAGAGTGCTTTCCCGGGTGAGTAAAGCAGTGCGGTTAGTATTGGTACGCGCTGTGCGGTGATTTTTATATGCTGTTGACGCTGGGAAGTGTGCTCTGTGTGCTGCTGCGCACAGTAGCCGTGTCCTGGATGGGTTGGGAGACGGCCCAACCCAAGCCCTGTTTGCCCGCATGCGGCATGCTGTGTTCCGAGCCATGGGGGCTGTGTTCCGAGCCATGGGGGCTGTGTTCCGAGCCATGGGGGCTGTGTTCCGAGCCATGGGGGCTGTGTTCCGAGCCATGGGGGCTGTGTTCCGAGCCATGGGGGCTGTGTTCCGAGCCATGGGGGCTGTGTTCCGAGCCATGGGGGCTGTGTTCCGAGCCATGGGGGCTGTGTTCCGAGCCATGGGGGCTGTGTTCCGAGCCATGGGGGCTGTGTTCCGAGCCATGGGGGCTGTGTTCCGAGCCATGGGGGCTGTGTTCCGAGCCATGGGGGCTCGAAGGCCGCATGAGCTTCTTCTATTCTACCCCAGCAGTGTATCTGGACCTCTCATTCCGCTTTCGCACTGTTCTCTTCTCTTCCTCCTCGCCATTCTCACTGTCACCTGCTGTGTTTGGCCCCCATCCTTTTGAAGCGCCTCAAAAGACCTGCTGTGTTTGGCCCCCATCCTTTTGAAGCGCCTCAAAAGACCTGCTGTGTTTGGCCCCCATCCTTTTGAAGCGCCTCAAAAGACCTGCTGTGTTTGGCCCCCATCCTTTTGAAGCGCCTCAAAAGACCTGCTGTGTTTGGCCCCCATCCTTTTGAAGTGCCTCAAAAGACCTGCTGTGTTTGGCCCCCATCCTCCTCCTTCCTCTCTCCTTCTCTCTCATCCTCCTTCACCCCACCCACAGGCGTCAACAGACCAAGCAACAGTGGATCTAGACCTCCCATTCCGCTTTGGCACGGTGCTCTCCCTGCTCTTCCAGCTGCTCGGTATCCTCTCAGTCACCCCCTGTGTTTGGGCCCCTCACTGGCCCCTTTCTCTCCGCTCCTTCACCTCATTCCTCCCTCACCCCTCCCACAGGCGTCAACAGACCAGGCAACAGTGGATCTAGACCTCCCATTCCGCTTTGGCACGGTTCTCTCTCTTCTCTTCCAGCTGCTCGGCATCCTCTCAGTCACCTCCTTCATCACCTGGCCTGTGCTCTTTGCTATAGTGCCCCTTGCCTACTTCTACTTCTCTTATCAGGTAAGCAACCAGTTCCCTCTGCTCATTCTCGGAACAGGTAACCGCTTGCTGCTCTTGCTTGTGTGTGTGTGTCTCTCTCTCTCTCTCTCTCTCTCTCTCTCTCTCGAACGGGCCTTGGTATTAATGTCAGCAAGGTACACACATGGTAAGGCTACAGCAATCTCACGGCAAGGCTACAGCAAAACAGCAGCTAACCCCGCACTATCCCAGCCCCAGCCCCCCCCTCCCCGCCCGGCCCTAATGGCCGGAGGGGTCTTCTATCAACTGATACAGCTGCCCTTCACTCATTGGAGTAAACGGGCCCTGCAGGCCGAGCGCATCCGCCGTGAGGGCCTCATGGGTCTTATCCCTGAGGGCAGTGGCTTGCGCTCTCTGCAGGGTCACACTCCACCGCTGCCGGTACTCGGTGAGTAGCTTGGCGCATTCCCTCGACTTGGGGGTGGCGTTGAACCGCCGCATGGCCGCTAACTCCGCGCAGCTGCGAAGGAATTCCAGGACTCCACTCGAGGGGTAACCGTAGGTCTCAACCGCCAAGGCGTAAAAGCCCACCCAAGCGCTCCGCCTGGCGTATTTGCTTGCCTTCTTGTCCGCCTGCATTCTAGCAGCCCAACCGGGAGCTTTACGGGCGTATTCATCCTGGTGGGAGACGGGGTCCGTGACCGTGATGTCACAGATCCACACTTCACCGGTGTCGGGATGGCGGATAGAGATATCCGCTTTGAGGTTTTCGACCGGTGAGTAAGCCGTTGTCTCCTTATGCACGGTGAAGCCCGCTTCCGCAGCTATCTTTGCGCACTCGTCCCGAAGGGCATTGTGGGTTGCAATTCTCCCCCCCCCTTTCTCGCACCGCATCAAATGGTTCGGTAGGCGGTCGTCGGGGAATGTGGTGCGGTATCTGCAGTCGCAGCGCCTTGGCACAGGTAGGGGGAGGCCTAAGCGGAAGGAGGCCGCTGTGGAGAACTGAGAGGGCCCGAGGCGGAGGGAGGAGATCAGCGGGACGGCGAGCAGCCAGTCCCCTGCGCCGGGGCCCAAGAGGGACTGCAGCCGCTGCGTGTGTCCGAACAGTGGGTTGAGCTCCATCTCCCGCGAGCTCTCGAGCAGTTGCATGAACCTTGCAGTTTGAACCGCGAGGGAGAGCGACTGTTGGAGCTTTGGCCCGTCCGGTCTCTGTCTCCCCACTTGGAGGGCCTCGATCCCCTCAGGAGGCAGCGCGGCTTCTAGGGCAGCAAGGCGCCTTGGGAGGAGGGACGTAGATTCCTCGTTGGAGTCCATTAGCGGCAGCAGTCCAGTGAGAGCAGGGTTTGCCGCGTCGCCGAAGGTTCGCAGCAGGTGTGCAGCAGCAGTGACTGCAGCCAGGTAGGCATGTCCCCCCTCCACTGCAGGGTTGGTGATGCCCAGGCCTCCCAGGGACGCGGGCAGGGCGGCCTGGTGCCAAATCCTCTCCCTCTCGACCCGGGCTCTGGGGGTTTCTGTGTGTGCTGCGGCAAGGTAGGTATGGAACAGTTCTTCCCCCCAGGCGGACCATTCCCTCAGCGGTAGGGCTTCAAGCGGCGTGGCTCTGACCATGAACGAAGCGCGGCGGCTCACGCAGCGGGTAAGTAGGAGCAGGCAGAGTTGCGGGTCCATCTGGGAGAGGAGCGGGAGCGGTTCAGCAGCAGCTTTAAGGCGTTCCCGCACTCGGGCAGCGCAGCCGGCGGGGGGCCCAATCGGGCTGCCCAAGACGCGGATCCCGTCCCGGGAGATAGTGACGCCGTGGGGCAGAGCGGCGGGCTCCAGGGCTGTGGCGGACCATGCTTCGCATTTCGCGGGGTTGTGGGACAGGCCGTGGCTGAGAAGTGCTTCCGTGAGGTGGTTGAAGGCCGCCGTGCAGCTCGCAGTCTCGCCTAGCAGGGTGATGTCATCTGCGTACGCGAGGAGGACCACCTCTGGGTGGGCCGTCGCCGTTGCAGCGAGACAGGGATGGATGCTGGCCGCGAACAGCATAGGCCCCAGTGGGTCACCCTGGCGCACGCCTCGCGCGCTCTGTAGAGGCGCCGCCTCGAAATCGTGGTCGAGGTAGAGGGCTGATGGGCGGCCGTATGAGAGGCGGACGAGGGGGACCAGGGTGTCAAGCTTCGTGCCTTTCAGTCCTTCAAACACCGCCGCGCGCTCCACGGCATTGAAAGCGTTTGCCAGGTCGATCTGGAGGGCCGTTGCTCCGGGGAACTCCTCCAGGTAGGTGCGGGCCGCGTGTATCGCTGCCTCGATGCCCCCCGCGATCGCCACACCGAATTGTAGCGGGGTGAAGTGGTCGCGCGCTGCAGGGGCGGCCAGGAAGAGCGCCGCCTTTGTGACAATACGCAGCAGACATTCGCCCACGGCTATTGGCCTAGTTCCGCCTTGGGGTTTCGTGAAGGCGAGCAGGCGCGAAGCGGTGAGTAGATCTGCAGCCTCGGCGCTCAGTTTACCCGCTAGCGCCGTGTTGGTAAGCGCGTGCAGTTGTAGGAGGACGTCGGTGTTCCCAAGGGCCGCATCTCTCAAGTGCTCGAAGGTAGTCCCTGATGGCCCAGCCCCTACGCCGTTGGGGCAACGGGCCAGCAGCTTCCTGAACTCGCGAGCTGTGATTGAGGGCAGAGTCTCAGGGGCAAAGTCTTGCACCCAGACTGGGATGGCTGCGGTGGCCCTTGGGTGCCTGGCTGTGAGCGCAGCCAATACGTCAGGGGTTGGCGAGCAGACGGGCGTGGCAGTTAGCGACTGGAGGGACTTCGCCAGGTTTCCCCTTTTCGCTAATCCCTCGGCTCTCGCCAGCTTTCCCGTGGTGTCAGGTACGTGGCGTGGTTGGGGGTTGTTGTTCACTGCTTCTGCCGCCTCGTCGTAAAGGCCGCGCCACTGCCCTTGGCGAAATCTCGTCAGTCTGTCGCCCATTGCCTTCCAGTCTGGTTTTCGTGCAGATGACGAGCGCAGGAGAATTCGCGGGAGAAACATCAGCAGCTTCCAACCAGGAGTGGAATCAGGGGTTATGGCGAGGTGCAGAAGTGGGGTCAGCAGGCAGATGGCGAAGGATTCGCGAAGTGGGCGAGGAGGGTGGCGGGCAAGGGGAGGCTGTCTGCTGTCGCGTAGCGGGCCGAGGTCCCAGTTGGCGATGTCAGCGAAAAGGTCTTGACGTCTTGCCAGGATGTCAGCGCTGATGATTGGGGCGGGGGTGGCAGGCGTTGGGCCCGCGTTACTGGCTGGGGCGGTGGTAACCGCAATGTTGGGGGCGGTTCGGTTTGGTCTCGCGGTCCGATTTCTGGGGGTTGGGGTTGCAGATGCGGCTCGGCCCAGGTTTGGGATTTGCCCCACACCTTCGGATCTGGTTTGGTTGGCAGGAACGCCTCGGGCACGTGGGCTGGGGACCTCCTCTCCTTGGAGTAGGCGATCCAACTCCTCGTCATCCTCCTCGACTTCAACCCCTAACAACCCCTCTCTTTCAGGGTTAAATAAGGGGTCCCCCTCGTCACTTCTCTCATTCTCCGTAGCCTCCTCAGCCTCCTCGCGAAGTTCCTCCTCGCCGCCTCTCGCGCTCTGACGTATCAGCCTCTCCGCGTTTCTCGCGAAGCCGCTGGCTCCTGTGCGGCGTCTGTTCGTGCCCCGCGCACCGCCGCCTCCCCGTCCCCGCTCGCTACCCCTTCGTCCGCGGCGACTGCCGCGTCCGACGCAGATTCCGCGCGTTGCTCTTGCTACTGCGACTCCCTCGCCCCCCGCCAGCGGCGCCGCGGTCGTCTCGCCTTCCCTTCGTCGGCGCGCTGGCATCTGCTGCGCTACGGTCGGGGGTGATGGACCCGTCCGCAAGACGGGATCCGGAGCTTGAGCATTCCGCGGAGAGCGCGCCGCGGGAGCCTGCGCCTGCCGAGCCTCGGCCACGACTGCCTGCGCATCCCTCCGCAAGCGAGCCCGTTCACCGATTCGAGCGGGTGCAGACTCTTCCCCATCAGCCAGCCTCGCGCCTCTCCCCCCCTGAGTATTCGTGGGCTCCTGCGCGTGTAGCGTCGAACCGTCCTGACGGTCAGCAGCCGCAGCAGCGCGGGCGCTCGCCTCAGCGTCATCCCCAACGGCAGCCGTCTCCTCGTCGCCTATCTCCCGCGCGTCGCGAACACTATCAGCGCAGGGAGGGGGATCCGCGCTCCCCTGAGCGTCCTCGCTCTCCTCGGCGCCCGTCTCCTCGTGGTCGAGCAGGCCAGCGCTCACCCCGAGCGCGATCCCCCGCTCAACAATCACCTCGGCGAGCTCCGGCGACGCGGGGGAAGGGGTCGCCTGGGCGTCGCTGGGAATCAGGTCGTCGCGAGCCGTCCCCTCCGCGTCCGAATTCGGGTGGTTCCGCTGGGCGGCGGGGCCGGCGGAATGGCGGAGGGCGCGGCTCATCTGGCCGCCAGCCGGATCCTGCTCTTGATCACGCTGCGAACACATTCGTGGATGTGGTGCGGCAGGCCCGGGCGAGCGGGGGGCCGACTCACGTTCACATCGAGGTGACAAATGGCCCTCCCTTTGCCGCGGATCCCGGCCCGGTGGCCCCACTGCGCGCGCCGATGTTGGCCGAGTATCTGCCCGCGCGGGTGGGGAGACCCGACTATCGCTCCCCTCGTCAGGTTCCTGGCTTCTCCGCTGGGTGCTTGACTGTTGGCCGCGTTCCTGGCTGGTCGGCGTCGTTTCCGCTCGAAGAGCAGACTGCACCTCACCCCAATCCCGTGGGGAGAGACCCCATGCTGACCATGTGCCGGATATTGAATCTGGCGGAGGCGTGCGAGGTGGTGGCGAACTTGCAGCTGGCAGTGTGTGGGGCCACCCGGAACTTTCCGAGCAGTTTCGGTCCAGGATCCCGAGGATCCTGCGTGACTTTGGCAGGATCGCTCGAGTCGCCGTTGGCGCCCGTGTCGGAAGCGCCCGCCGGGGTAGCTCCCTTAGCCCGTACTTTCCCCCGCCACGTGGGGGATCTTGTAGGGGCTGCTCAGGCCGGGACCCCCCTGGACGTGCTCCAGTCATCGGCGCATCTTCTTCTTGCGGTATCGGCGTGTATGCGCTCGATGCTTGAGATGGAGGGGGCGGAGCCGTACACGATGTAGGCCTCCGCCGCGTGTAATATTGCATGCCGTTCTCTCTTGCCTAGGCTCTGCTCCCTTGATTCCTGTGCATGCGTGTTTCTCCTGGAATAGCAGTCCACTGCCTTGTTCCTTGCCACCAGGAGCGCGCGGCCGAAGGCCGCGCTGGCGAGCGGCGGCGGCCGAAGGCCGCCGGCGCGAGCCGCCGGAAATGAACTCCACACGAAATAATGAGGAGGGGGAGAGAGAAACAGCCCTTAAATAGCTCTGGAGGGCGGAGGGCAGAGGGGTGAGGCAGAGGGCAGAGGGCTAAGGGGTATCCTCTCTCTCTCTCTCGCTCTCTCCCGCCGGAAATGAACTCCACACGAAATAATGAGGAGGGGGAGAGAGAAACAGCCCTTAAATAGCTCTGGAGGGCGGAGGGCAGAGGGGTGAGGCAGAGGGCAGAGGGCTAAGGGGTATCCTCTCTCTCTCTCTCTCTCTCTCTCACTTCTCCCACCTGCTCCGTACAACTCCGTCTTCTGCCCTGACATTCAACCCATTCACTGCATGCCACGTGTCCCTCCCTATCCGCCAGGAGTACTACCTGACCACGTCTAGGGAGCTCTCTCGACTGGATGGCATCACCAAGTCGCCCATCATCGAGCACTTCAGCGAGTGAGTGCATGCATGAATAGTGCTTAACTTGAATAATCGTCGGTGAACTCCTTTCTTATATGCCTCGCCTGGATGGCGTCACCGAGTCCCAAGCCATCCACTCACCGAGTGCCTGGATGGATGGGACTCCTTTGTTGAAGTTATCAATCACTTCAACAAGTCTCCAAGTGTCCCAGTTCTTCCTCTCTTTACCCACCCAGATATCCCTAGCCGGAGCAGCGGTGATCCGGGCCTTTGGTGAAGAATCTCGGTTCGCACGCACGAGTGCAGCGCAGGTGGACAGCAACACGTGCGTGGCACTGTGCAGCAGAGGAGAGGAGTGGAGATGAACTGCACTGGGGTCTCGTTTCTGTAACCCCAAGTGTCACTTTGAGTCGACTCAAAAGGAGTGGAGATGAACTGCACTGGGGTCTCGTTTCTGTAACCCCAAGTGTCACTTTGACTCACAGTCTCTATTGCACTCACCACCACTCTCCCTCATTTTCCACTCATCCCACCCACCCAGGTCGCTAGCCGGAGCAGCGGTGATCCGGGCCTTTGGTGAAGAATCTCGGTTCGCACGCACGAGTGCAGCACGGGTGGACAGCAACACACGCGTGGCGTTCTGCAGCAGAGGCGCCGTGGAGTGGCTGGGTTTCCGCCTCGAGCTGCTGGGCTCGCTGCTGCTCTGCTTCTCTGCGCTCATGCTCACGCTACTACCACCTTCAGTGGTGTCACCAGGTATGGATAGTGCGAGTGTGAGAGGGAGAGAGGGTGTGTGTGTGTGTACACGATCCACGTGCTCACCTCTATTGGGGTGGACCATGTGTGGCGTTCTGCAGCATTCGTTCTGCAGCAGAGGTGCCGTGGAGTGGCTGGGTTTCCGCCTCGAGCTGTTGGGCTCGCTGCTGCTCTGCTTCTCTGCTTTCATGCTAACGCTGCTGCCTCCCTCCGTGGTGTCACCAGGTAGGGACAGGCTAAGTGTGAGGGAGCGAGAGGGGGATAAATACAAGGACCAATTGAGGGGTCGTGTGTGTTTATGAGTGTGAACGTGCTTGACAAACACACCTGTGCTGGGGATTGTTTTTTAGAATTCTCAAAAACAATCTGTTTATGAGTGTGAACGTGCTTGACAAACACACCTGTGCTGGGGATTGTTTTTGAGAATTCTCAAAAACAATCTGTTTATGAGTGTGAACGTGCTTGACAAACACACCTGTGCTGGGTTGGACAGCAACACGCACGTGGCATTCTGCAGCATTTGTGGCGCCTCAAAAATCGCCGCTTGTTCTGCAGCAAAGGCGCCGTGGAGTGGCTTGGGTTTCTCCTGGAACTGCTGGGGTCGCTGCTGCTCTGCTTCTCTGCTCTCATGCTCACGCTGCTGCCTCCGTCTGTGGTGTCACCAGGTAGGGATACTGTGAGAAAGAGTGTGAGCTCGTGTAGGTGATCTGTCTCAGTGGGCGCTCACATTTGTTGGGGTCGCTGCTTCTCTGCTTCTCTGCTCTCATGCTCACGCTGCTGCTACCCCTACTAGGCACACCGCGCGTACCAGTAACCTGTGAAGGTTACAACCAATTTGCCATGCAACAAACAATCTCTCCACATACAATCCCGCAGATGGTTCCACTTTTTGAGACGTCTCAAAATTTCACTTTCTACGCGTTGCAAGTTGCAACAAACAATCCCTCCACATTCAGTCCCACAGAAGGTTCCACTGGGGTGCCTAGTCTCATCCCCCCCTCTCCTACTCTTTCGCCTCTCCGCCCACATCACCTGAATCTTTCGCGCTCTCCTCTTCCGGTCCCCCGCCCTCCTGCCCTCTCCTCCTCGCCCTCCTGTCATCTCCTCTTTCCCCCCCCCTTCCCCCAGGCCTAGCAGGCATGTCCCTCTCCTACGGCCTTGCGCTCTCGCAAGCGCTCTTCTTCGTGGTGTGGGCGTGGTGCTCCCTGGAGAACCAGATGGTGTCAGTGGAGCGAATCCTCCACTTCTCCCACCCCGCCGTGCCCTCGGAAGCCCCTCTTGTTATCGCCAACCACCGTCCACGGCCCGATTGGCCGAACAAGGGGCGAGTGGAGTTTCAGGATCTTCAGGTGAGTGAGATTTCTAAGGCGCTTAAAGAAAAACAGGTTCCCGGTGGGTGTGGTTTGAGGGGTTTCAGTGGGTGGTTTGTTGGGTTGTGATGAGTGGGTTGAGGGTGGTTCAGTGCGTTGTGGGCGTGGTCTTCCCTGGAGAACCAGATGGTCTCAGTGGAGCGGATTCTGCACTTCTCCCACCCCGCCGTGCCCTCCAAAGCGCCCCTCGTCCTCCCCCACCACCGCCCTCCCGCCAACTGGCCGCACCAGTGTGATGAGGGCATGGAGAACCAGATGGTATCAGTGGGGTGGATTCTGCACTTCTCCCACCCCGCCGTGCCCTCTGAAGCGCCCCTCGTCCTCCCCCAATTGGCCGCACCAGGGGAGGGTGGAGTTTGAAGGCCTTCAGGTGGGTGTGTGGGTTAAGGGGTCTCAGTGTGGTGCGCGTGGTGTTCCATTCCCAGACCTGCCCATGGTGCTGAAGGTAAGTCGACTTTTGAGACGACTCAAAACTCGACTTAAGGGGTCTCAGTGTGGTGCGGGTGGTGTTCCCAGACCTGCCCATGGTGCTCAAGGGCGTGAAATTACCAATCCCAGGAGGGCACAAGGTCAGCCTGTACCCCGCAATATGGGAGTGACTGTTGAGAATTCTCAAAAGTCACTCCCATACAGGAGGGCACAAGGTCAGCCTGTAGCTCGCATACAGAAATAGGTTCGACCTGGATCCAACAGGTAACTCGTCCTAATCTTCTCTAGGCTGAGCTATAGGCTAGTAGGGACTGAGTAGGTAAGAAATCTTCATTCAAACCTGAGCGTACGCACGTTTCGGCCGGTGGCCTTCATCAGCCTGTAGCTCGCCTCGCACCCCTGCAGCGACAAGTCAATGGTGACTTTTGAGTCGACTCAAAAGTCTCCTCGAGATTTACCAATCCCAGGAGGGCACAAGGTCAGCCTGTAGCTCGCCTCGCACCCCAGCAGCGACAAGTCAACTAAGTCAACCAAGTCTTCTGCTCTATCTCTCCTGCCCTGCACCTCCTCTCCCTCCTCCCCAGGTCCAGTACCGGCCAGACCTGCCCATGGTGCTGAAGGGCGTGACTCTGACCATCCCAGGCGGGAACAAGGTTGGTATTGTGGGCCGCACTCTTGCCAGCACTGGCAGCGGCAAGTCAACAAAGTCAGCCAAGAATTCTGTTCCCTCTCTTCCCCACCTCCCCCTTCCCCAGGTCCAGTACCGGCCAGACCTGCCAATGGTGCTGAAGGGCGTGACTCTGAACATCCCAGGCGGGCACAAGGTCGGCATTGTGGGCCGCACCGGCAGCGGCAAGTCAACGCTCGTCGCCGCTCTCTTCCGATTGGTCGAGCCGGCGGGCGGCAGGGTGGTGATTGATGACGTGGACATTGGGAGCATCGGATTGGGCGACCTGAGGGGGCGGCTGGCGATCATACCACAAGACCCGACTCTGTTCCAGGGGTCGATCCGAATGAACTTAGACCCTGCAGGAGAATACAGTGACGCTCAGATATGGGAGGTGAGGCACCTTGGGGAAGCGGAGGGGGCGGGGAAGGAAGGGGTGTACGGCTGGCGATCATACCGCAGGACCCGACACTGTTCCAGGGGTCGATTCGAATGATTCTGGACCTTGCCGGGGAATACAGTGATGCTCAGATATGGGAGGTGAGGCACCTTGGGGAAGGGGAGGGGGGAGGGTGGGGAGGGGAGGAGGGGGGTCATGAGATTGTTGGTCATACCGCAGGACCCGACACTGTTCCAGGGGTCGATTCGAATGATTCTGGACCTTGCCGGGGAATACAGTGATGCTCAGATATGGGAGGTGAGGCACCTTGGGGAAGGGGAGGGGGGAGGGTGGGGAGGGGAGGAGGGGGGTCATGAGATTGTTGGTCATACCGCAGGACCCGACTCTGTTCCAGGGGTCTATTCGAATGAACCTGGATCCTGCCAGGGAATACAGATATGGGAGGTGAGACACCTTGGGGAAGCGATGGGGGTGGGTGGGGGTGGCGTGGGGAAGGGGGGGTGTGCGGCTGGCGATCATACCACAGGACCCGACGCTGTTCCAGGGATCTATTTGAGTGAATCTTGTTGAGGCGCCTCAAAAGGGGGGGCTTTTGAGGCGCCTCAAAAGGGGGGGTGTGCGGCTGGCGATCATACCACAGGACCTGACGCTGTTCCAGGGATCTGTTTGAGTGAATCTTGACCCTGGGGGGGAAATAAAGTGGTACTCAGATATGGGAGGCTAGTCACTTCGGAAGTCGGCCGGGAGCTAGTGGCGATTCGGGCGACATTACCCCAGAAGTACCCCCCACGCTGATCTCGAGGTTGATTGATCAAGATAGCCTGCTCTGCTGTACATACATCCCATTCCGCCCTTTGTGACTCTTAAGTCGCCTAAAAAATGGGCGACTTAAGTCGCCTAAAAAAAATCACGACAGCCTGCCTGCCCCCTGCCTGACATCCATCCCGTTCCGCCCTTTGTCCTGCCTCCCCTGTGTCGTCCTCTACTCCTCTCCTTCCTCCCTGTCTCCAATCCCTTCAATCCCCTTCCCCCCCTCAACGTAGGCACTGGATCGATGTCAGCTGGGGGACACTGTGAAGGGCATGGAGGCAAAGCTGGATGCCCAGGGTGAGCAGAGCATGAATAGGGTTGGGGGCAGTAGGCAAGGGAATATTTCGTTTGGTACCAAACAGGGTATTTGAGATTGTTTGGCGCCTCCAATGGGAAGGGTGGGGTGATGTTGGCATGGAGAGGGGAGGTTGCGACTGGAGGTAAAACGAAAGGGAAACCAAATAAAAGCCTAGCAAGGTTGTACTTATAGTTAGTATAGTATACTTTCCCGTTGAGTTCCAGCAAGCTCCCTCTAGTGTGTGTCCGTTTTCGTATGCATCATGGATTTGAGACATCTCCTCTGCCTGTTACACCTTCATTGTGTGTCTGTTGTGTATGTCTGTGCGACATGGGTTCAAACTTTCAGTGGTGGAGGAATGGGAGAACTGGAGCGTGGGGCAGAGGAAGCTGTTTTGCCTCAGCAGGGCGCTTGTGAAGATTGGTTTTGAGACGTCTCAAAACCAATCTTCATACACGTGGGGCAGAGGAAGCTGTTTTGCCTCAGCAGGGCGCTGGTGAAGATTGGTTTTGAGACGTCTCAAAACCAATCTTCATACACGTGGGGCAGAGGAAGCTGTTTTGCCTCAGCAGGGCGCTGCTGAAGAACTTACAAACTCGTGTGTGTGTGTGTGTGTGTGTGTGTGTGTGTGTGTGTGTGTGTGTGTGTGTGTGTGTGTGTGTGTGTGTGTTTGTGCATATGTGTGTGTGTTTGTGCGTATGTGTGTGTGTTTTGTGGTGTTGCCTCAAACTTTTCAGTGGTGGAGGGAGGGGAGAACTGGAGCGTGGGGCAGAGGCAGCTGTTCTGCCTTGGCCGGGCGCTGCTGAAGAACTCGCAGATTCTAGTGCTGGACGAAGCCACGGCGTCCGTTGATTCCGCCACCGACGTGGCGATCCAACGGACGATAAAGGAGAGCTTTGGCGGGGCGACGATCATCAGCATCGCGCACCGGATCGCGACGGTCATTGACAGTGACTTGGTGGTGGTGATGGATGGAGGTGAGTGATGGATGGGGGTGAGTGATGGATGGAGGTGAGTGATGGATGGGGGTGAGTGATGGATGGGGGTGAGTGATGGATGGGGGTGAGTGATGGATGGGGGTGAGTGATGGATGGGGGTGAGTGATGGATGGGGGTGAGTGATGGATGGGGGTGAGTGATGGATGGGGGTGAGTGATGGATGGGGGTGAGTGATGGGGGTGAGTGATGGATGGGGGTGAGTGATGGATGGGGGTGAGTGATGGATGGGGGTGAGTGATGGATGGGGATGAGTGATGGATGGGGGTGAGTCATGGATGGGGGTGAGTCATGGATGGGGGTGAGTCATGGATGGGGGTGAGTGATGGATGGGGGTGAGTGATGGATGGGGGTGAGTGATGGATGGGGGTGAGTGATGGATGGGGGTGAGTGATGGATGGAGGTGAGTGATGGATGGGGGTGAGTGATGGATGGGGGTGAGTGATGGATGGGGGTGAGTGATGGATGGGGGTGAGTGATGGATGGGGGTGAGTCATGGATGGGGGTGAGTCATGGATGGGGGTGAGTCATGGATGGGGGTGAGTCATGGATGGGGGTGAGTCATGGATGGGGGTGAGTCATGGATGGGGGTGAGTCATGGATGGGGGTGAGTCATGGATGGGGGTGAGTCATGGATTGGGGTGAGTCATGGATGGGGGTGAGTCATGGATGGGGGTGAGTGATGGATGGGGGTGAGTCATGGATAGGGGTGAGTCATGGATGGGGTTGAGCGATGGATGGGGGTGAGTGATGGATGGGGGTGAGTGATGGATGGAGGTGAGTGATGGATGGGGGTGAGTGATGGATGGGGGTGAGTCATGGATGGGGGTGAGTCATGGATGGGGGTGAGTGATGGATGGGGGTGAGTCATGGATGGGGGTGAGTCATGGATGGGGGTGAGTCATGGATGGGGGTGAGTCATGGATGGGGGTGAGTGATGGATGGGGGTGAGTGATGGATGGGGGTGAGTGATGGATGGGGGTGAGTGATGGATGGGGGTGAGTGATGGATGGGGGTGAGTCATGGATGGGGGTGAGTCATGGATGGGGGTGAGTCATGGATGGGGGTGAGTCATGGATGGGGGTGAGTGATGGATGGGGGTGAGTGATGGATGGGGGTGAGTGATGGATGGGGGTGAGTCATGGATGGGGGTGAGTCATGGATGGGGGTGAGTCATGGATGGGGGTGAGTCATGGATGGGGGTGAGTCATGGATGGGGGTGAGTCATGGATGGGGGTGAGTCATGGATGGGGGTGAGTGATGGATGGGGGTGAGTCATGGATGGGGGTGAGTCATGGATGGGGGTGAGTCATGGATGGGGGTGAGTGATGGATGGGGGTGAGTCATGGATGGGGGTGAGTCATGGGTGGGGTTGAGTCATGGATGGGGGTGAGTCATGGATGGGGTTGAGTCATGGATGGGGGTGAGTCATGAATGGGGTTGAGTCATGGATGGGGGTGAGTCATGGATGGGGTTGAGTTGTAGGAACAAGGTGAAGCATGGAGGAAGGTACAGAATGAATGAGACAGTGCTTAGTGTGAGGCAGCACCAATCATAAGCGTCAGACACAGGATCATGACAGTCATTGACAGTGACTTGGTGGTGGTGATGGGTGGGGGTGAGTCGTGCGCATGGGACGATGTTGAAGAGGGTAATCTGATGGCGATGGTCATTGACTGTGACATGGTGGTGGTGATGGATGGGGGTGAGTGATGGATGGGGGTGAGTCGTGGCAACAAATTATGTTAGCTCCTCATCATCTTCCCCTTTCCTACCTTTGCCTCACCTTTGCATTGCCTTTGATTGATCGATTTACAGGAACCGTGGCGGAGTGCAACTCACCAGCTGAGCTCATGCGTGACCCTGATTCAATGTTTTCTCGCCTTGTGGCGGAGTATGCAGTCCGATCATCCGGCCTTGCAGACATTGCAAAGAGCCTATCGCTTGAGAGCCTTGCCAATGCTGCTCTTTCATGATGGTGCGTAGGCAATGTAGAAATTGCACAAACCCAAATGTTTATATCATTAACCCAAATCCCTCGTAGCTAGCTTCATCTGCCATACGCAGCTGCCATATGATAAGTATGGAAAGTGACCCAAGAAGCTGTTTTTTTACCTTATTAATTGTTGACCATTCCATTCATACTAATCTTGAAGGGTATGGTAGTTGGAGTAAAATTTGTTGTATAATCCATTCAATTGTGCCAATTTCGGCATTTCCGAGGGAAGTCGCTGCGTGGAGTAAATCCCCCAACCCTGCAATTTCAGAAAGGTAAAAGAAGCGGTTGAGAGCGATGCTCTGCAATTTGAAACATTCTGTTGGCTTCACCTGTTTGAACCGCTATTCACCTGCCTGAAGATTGATCCACAAAGGCAAACCAGGCTTTTCAAGGCACACCCTCTTCCGCCTCTCCCTTTCAACCTTGGGATCCTATTTTTGATTCCTGCGCCTGTGAGACACACGCAGCGGATTTCCCGCAGAAGCTCGCCGTTAGCTCTTCGGGTGTACGCTCCCGTCGCGTCGTTCATTCATTCCGGTTTTCCTCGCAGTATCGCGACAATGGATAAGGTGCGTCTGTCAGGTAGGCTTAGTGTGGCTTCAGCTCCCCCGACTTGCATCGAAACCAAGAGCTTCGCCGTTCAGAATCTACCTTCAGGCGTTGAAATTCCCGCATTGTCATCGTTTCCGCGTGGCAAAATCGATAATGAGCAACCTTATCCAGAATATCCGCAGTCCTATCGTTGAAAAGATGGCATTGAACTCCGCCCTTCTGGGAGAGCCTCGTCTAAAACCCTGATCCTCGGGTCTGGCTGCCACCACAGGAGTTCCACTGTTTGCGCCGGCCTTACATATTATATTGGAGTGTTCCTTTATGGCTCTCAAGCTTGATTCCAACTTCCAACCAAGTTTTGCCGAATAGCGGAATATCTCTAACGCAAGTACCACGCTCTTCAGCTCGAGCGAGCATTGCAATGTCGATGTCAATGCCGAAATCGTTTTTCTTATCTTCTTCATCAGACTGTTGTTTTCATCTGCTTACTGTCTTCCTCATTCTAAGGCATCCTCCCGTTCTTGTTAATCTGTCGTTCCATTTCGTCTTTCTGCCTTTTCCCGAAGCTACGAAGGATAATGAAATAAAGTGAAATCCCGTTCTGCTCGTTCCGCGGTTCTTTTCGTCACACCCCTTGGCTCTCAACCAATCAGGATCAAGCCGCTCCTGCAGCAGAAACCGTCGACGCGACGGCTGCAGCTGCTGCTGACCTGTCAATCGCCGATAAGCCAGCAGCAGAGGCCACGGAGCAGAAGGATCAGAAAGAGAAGAAGGAGAAGAAGGAAAAACCCAAAAAGGAGAAGGTCCCTAAGGAGAAAAAGCCCAACCAACAAGGCGGAGGAGGCGGAGGCGGCGGAGGGGGGAAGAAGGAGGTGAAGAAGGAGACGCTGCTGGGTCTGTCGGTTAAGAAATCAGAGGACTATGGGAAGTGGTACTCGGAGGTGGTGGTTCAGTCAGAGCTGATTGAGTACTATGACGTGTCCGGCTGTTACATCCTCCGACCCTGGTCCTACTCCATCTGGGAAACCATCAAGGTAGGACTGGCTGACTCAACGCCTGACTGACGCTCAAGGTGATGCGAATTCTTTTGCGTCGGTCCTAACCCATATGGGAGAACATGAAGGCGAGAGGGAGATGTGGATGTGTGAGGGAGGGATGACTATGGGGGGAAGTGGTACTCGGAGGTGGTGGTGCAGTCAGAGGGCTCATCAAGTACTATGACGTGTCCGGCTGTTACATCCTCCGACCCTGGTCCTACTCCATCTGGGAAACCATCAAGTATGGCTGGCAAGTTCAATGGTGATTAGAATTTTGTTCTGATGTCGGCTCAGCACAAAGGCCGGGTCACCCCCCTCCGAGCCTGGTCGGTCCTTTTAGTATGCGAGACAAGGAAGGTGAGAGCGATATGGGGATGGTGGAGGGAGGGAGGAGAGGACTATGGGAAGTGGTACTCGGAGGTGGTGGTACAGTCAGAGCTCATTGAGTATTATGACGTGTTCGGCTGTTACATCCTCCAACCCTGGTCCTACTCCATCTGGGAAACCATGAAGGTATGGCTGTCACAATGTCGGTGTGTGACTGACATTCAAGGTGATGCGAATTCTGTTACGTCGGTAAAAAATCCATTCTCTAGCCCTTCTCCCAACTCCTCTCTCTCTCTCTGCCTTGCCTCTCAGCCCTTCTACCGTCTCCGGTTCCTCCCTCCCCTCCTCGTTTCCTCCTCTGCAGGATTATTTTTGACGCGGAGATCAAGCAGCTGGGCGTGCAGAACTCCTACTTCCCCATGTTCGTCTCTGAGAGGGCGCTCAACGATAGACTCATGACTCAATCCATGCCTTTCCATGCCTTGCCTTCCCTGCCTTCATGTCCCTTTCAGGACTTCTTTGATGCGGAGATCAAGCAGCTGGGCGTGCAGAACTCCTACTTCCCCATGTTCGTCTCTGAGAGGGCGCTCAACGCTGAGAAGGACCACGTCGAGGGCTTTGCTCCCGAGGTGAGGCAAGGTTGCTCTCGTGGTGAGGCAAGGTTGCTGTTGTTATGAGTGTAAGTGAAAGTGCACAAGTCCCTGCTTCCCCATGTTCGTCTCTGAAAGGGCGATCAATGCTGAGAAGGACCACGTCGAGGGCTTCGCTCCCGAGGTGAGGAAACGTTGCCATTAGGTCGTTATTCTGATTAATATGCGTATAGTCATCCCAAAATGGGCCCTTAACGCTGTGAAGGACCATGCTGAGAGCTTCCCTCGTTCCTCCTCCCTCCCTAGCTCCTTGCTCCTTGCTTTCCTCTCACCCCTTCTCCCTCCCTGGGCTCCCCTCCCCCCCTCTCCATTGCAACCCCCAGGTGGCATGGGTGACCAAGTCAGGTCAGTCTGAGTTAGACGTGCCCATCGCCATCCGCCCCACGAGTGAGACGGTGATGTACCCCATCTACGCCAAGTGGATTCACTCGCACCGCGACCTGCCGCTGAAGCTCAACCAGTGGAACAGCGTCGTGCGCTGGGAGTTCAAGCACCCCACGCCCTTCATCCGGTGCGTGGGAGTGGGTGGGCGGTGGGATGTGTGGTTCTGAGGCGTCTCAGCATTCGTTGTGTGTGTGGGTGGGTGGAATGGTAGTAGGTGTGTGTGGGGAGGGCAGCAGGGCAGGGCAGGGACGCTAAACAGGTTCCAGGAGCGAAACGCCAAGTAGATACACTCGCACCGCGGCCTGCCCTTGAAGCTCAACCAGTGGAACAGCGTCCCCGTGCCCTTCATCCGGTGGGTGGGTGTGTGGGTGGGAGTGAGTGGGTGCGGAGGAGTAGGGGAGTGACTGGGTACCGAGGGATGCACTAAAGACCAGCGTCGTGCGCTGGGAGCTCAAGCACCCCACGCCCTTCATCTGGTGGGTGGGTGGGATGTTTGTGGCTCTGAGACGTCTCAGCACTGGATGTGTGTGTGTGCGTGTGTGTAGAGATAGAAAGGAAGCACCCCACGCCCTTCATCCGGTGGGTGGGAGTGAGTGAGTGAGTGGGCATGTAGGAAGGAGTAGGAAGAAAGGCGTTTCCAGTTTCCACACCCCGCAGCCTTCATTCTCTGGGAAGTCAAGCTTCCCACGCTCTTCCGTTCACCCCGTCTCGCCCCAATATCCCCCCCGAATCAGGAGTCGCGAGTTCCTGTGGCAGGAGGGCCATACCGCCTTCGCCAGCAAGGAGGAGGCGGATGTTGAAGTGTTGGCCATCCTGGAGCTGTACCGCCGCATCTATGAGGAGCTGCTGGCCGTGCCGGTGGTGAAGGGCGTGAAGAGCGAGCGGGAGAAGTTTGCTGGGGGGCTCTACACCACCACTGTCGAGGTATGTGGGGAGTAGCGTGGTGGCGCTAGGTGAGGCTGTGTTTTTACTCAACTCAATACACACCGTGCTTTACACCACATTCCATTGATTAGACCTGGATCGAAAATGTTCATCTTCAACTTGCCATGCTCCCTCTGTGTTGCTGCTCTCCCCGGTGGCCCTGTGGCAGGCGTTCATCCCAGCGACGGGCAGGGGCATCCAGTCGGCCACCTCGCACTGCCTGGGGATCCTGTGCAAGAATGGTTCTTGTCTCTTCCCTTGCCTGCCACTCCCCCTGTGCTTCTGTGACATCGTCACCTGCTGCAGGCATTCATCCCAGCGACGGGCAGGGGCATCCAGTCGGCCACGTCGCACTGCCTGGGACAGAACTTTGCCAAGATGTTCAACATTGAGTTTGAGGACGACAAGGGCGCCAAGCAGATGGTCTGGCAGAACAGCTGGGGGCTCTCCACCCGCTCGGTCAGTGGAGTCACCAGTGCCGGCCTGCCTGATTGTGTTGATCGTGTTTAGCTATGGGGGTATTCTTGTGTCCAGCCAAGCAGATGGTCTGGCAGAACAGCTGGGGGCTCTCCACGCGCTCGGTCAGTCACTAGGGCCCACATGATGGGTACCAGAGCCAAGCTACTAGGTTTACTCCCGCTCAGATGGGAGAGGAGTGCATGGTGCTTCCAGTGAGACCAAGTGTGACCAAGTGTGACCAGATTACAAGGGCCTCATTCTTCCCGCCAATGGGGCGCCCATTCTGCTGTCTCACCTCTGCTCCCCCTACCTTCCCACCCTTCCGCTTCCCCAACTTGACGTCTTCTCCCCATCCTCGCTCCCTCCCCTTCCTTTTAAACCTGCCATACAGATCGGCGTGATGGTGATGGTGATGGTGATGGTGATGGTGATGGTGATGGTGATGGTGATGGTGATGGTGCATAGGGACGACAAGGGACTCGTGCTGCCCCCGTAATGTGGAGCCTTTTTGGTGGCTCAAATGTCCTCCATCAACCTTCCAACACCCTACTCCACGCTGCTACACCCACCGCAGATCGGCGTGATGGTGATGGTGCATTCAGACGACAAGGGCCTCGTGCTGCCGCCCAACGTGGCGCCCATCCAAGCCATCGTCGTCCCCATCCCCTTCAAGGACGCCGACCGGGCGGCCGTCGTGGCAGCAGCAGCCGACGTGGGCGCCCAGCTGCGGGCGGCGGGGGTGCGGGTGAAAGAGGACGCGCGCGACAACTACTCCCCAGGCTTTAAGTACAACTTCTGGGAGCTCAGGGGTGTTCCCATCCGTGTGGAGCTGGGCCCCAGGGACCTTGCCAACAAGCAGGTGGGTGTGTGGGTGTGTGCTGGCAGCAGGGTGTGGTGTTGGTGGTGCTGCAGTGGTTATCAGAGCAACTTTTGGGAGCTCAGGGGCGTGCCGATCCGCGTGGAGCTTGGTCCCAGGGACCTCACCAACAAGCAGGTGGGCAGCAGGGGCTGATGCTGGTGTGTGGTGTGCTAGCAGCAGGTGGTGATGCTGGTGTGTGGTGTGCTAGCAGCAGGGGCTGATGCTGGTGTGTGGGTTGCGGGCAGGGGGGCTGTCGAGTTGACTCACCGAGGGGGGGGGGGCGGTGGGGGGGGGAGGGGGGTGTGGGAGGCGGCTGGGAGAGAGCGGGTGAAGGCCCTTCTTGTGACGATCCACGCGGACATGCTGGCGCGCCCCACCAGTGGGACGAGTTCACGCCTCCCTCCCTCTCTGCCTGCCTGCCTGCCTCTCGCCCTCCCCTCCCCTCTCTCCCCTCCAGGTGGTGTTGGTGCGGAGGGACACGGGCGCCAAGGAGTCAGCGCCCTGGGAGGGGCTGGGCGAGCGGGTGAAGGCGCTGCTAGCGACGATCCACGCGGACATGCTGGCGCGCGCCACCAAGGAGCGCGATGACAGCATCGTCAAGATTACAAAGTGGGAAGAGTTCATGCCGGCAATCGATGCCAAGAAGATGGTGCTGGCGCCGTGGTGCGATGAGGAGGCGGTGGAGGAGGATGTGAGGAAGCGGAGCGCCGGTGCTGGGGAAGGCGGGTCCGCCAAGACTTTGTGCATGCCGTTCGAGCAGCCCGAGCTGCCAGAAGGTACGTTATACGGGCAATGTGTGCTGGTAGTGGGTGGGAAGGGTTACAGTTGGGAGTGGTGTTGAGCTTGGGGTGAAGAGGGAGAGGGGTAAATGGTGCTGGATTGAGGGGGGAAGGGGGTGGGGGAGAATAAGGTGGTGCTGGCGCTGTGGTGCGATGAGGAGTCGATGGAGGAGGATGTGAGGAAGCGGAGCGCCGGTGCTGGGGAGGGCGGGTCGGCGAAAACGCTCTGCATGCCCTTCGAGCAGCCCGAGCTGTCTGAAGGTGTGTTTGTGCAAGCTCTTGTGTGTGGAACGGGGGGGGGAGAGACGGGGTTGGGGGGCTGGCATGGAATGGCTTGGTGAGTGCTGCTGGGGAGGGTGGATCCGCCAAGACGCTCTGTATGCCGTTCAAGCAGCCAGAGCTGCCTGAAGGTGTGTGCTGGGGGAATGGGGCCAACAGCCAGGAAGGTTCTTTGTGGCATGGCTTGGCATGTCATGGCATGCTATTGGCAGCATTTGAGCAGCTATTCAGGTTTGGAGGGCGGATCAGCCAAGACGCTCTGCATGCCATTCAAGCAGCCTGAGCTGCCTGAGCAGATTTTATGCATGCCATTCAAGCAGCCTGAGCTGCCTGAAGGTGCGTGTGTGGGTGGGTGTGTGGGTGAGGGTGTGGGCGGACTAACATGGTAAGTATGGCATGGCAGAGAGTCAGAGCCTCAGCACTTACAGCACACCGTGCCCTCCTCTCGCATCCCGACTCTCCCTCTCTCCTCTCTCCTCTCTCCTCTCCTCTCTCCTCTCTCCTCCTCTCTCCTCTCTCCTCTCTCCTCTCGTCTCCCTCTCCCCCTCCCCTCCTCCAGGCGCACTCTGCTTTGCATCAGGCAAGCCAGCCAAGAAGTGGGCTCTGTGGGGCCGCAGCTACTAAATCAGGAATATTCACCCGAAATGGAATATCCCCACAGCGGTCTCTGCCTCAGGATTAGCGTGAGAGGCTCAAGTGGCTGAATTGTACTGTACCGGAAACTCTTCACCTCACCATCCTGGAGAGAACAGCCATGCACTGGCTGTAGATTCAGTTGTGTAGGCAAATTCGGTACCGTCAGCCCCCGGATAGAAGCGCCCCTGGGGTTATAAAAAAACACGTTTTTTTAGGGGGTGCGCTTATAATTGAGGATTTTTATAAGCGCCGGTGCTTATATAATAGCATATATGAAATTCGTCGTTTTTCCACCAAACTGTAGATCCCGTTCTTGCGAATTGAATCGAGTCGAAACTATACAGGGTTCGATTGAGAATCTCGCATGCAAGTTGGCAGGGATTGATTCCCTGCCAACACACACAGTCAGAATGTGAAACTATACTGTACAAGGCTGTTATTGAGAATCTCGCGTGCAAGTTGGCAAGGATTGATTCCCTGCCAACACACACAGTCAGAATGAGTCAACGTGCGCCTTTGACAGCTCATTCTGACTGGACGCGTTGCCAGTGAGCCGGGCGAGGGTGAGGGGGCATCTAAATTCAAAATGTGGGAATGAAAATGTTGAGTTTCGCTACAACGATTTCAGTAAAATTATAATAAAAAAGAAGAGGGTGGCGCTTATAATCCGTAAGCCTTCAGGGGTGTGCTTATAATCGAGGACCGGATATAAGCGCCCTCATCCTCTTATAAGCGCCGGCGCTTATCCGAGGCCTGCGCTTCTATCCGGGGGCTTACGGTAGTGCTTGCTTTTCCCAGGAAAAGGTGGGAATAGTGACTCGATGCTGGGTTCACAGAGCTGCTGTATTGCAGTGCCAGATCTTGTCGTTTTTGTGCCACAAATCCTTTACAGGCATGAAGGTGGGGTTCCTATTGAGAGCTCACTGCATTAGGTGTACGGCTTTGACAACTCAGGTCTGCCATTGGCCTCAGTCAACACAAAGAATGCATAAGAGGCAGCTGCTGCTGAGGCATGTAAGAGCACAGCACTACTGGTTTTTTAGCAAGGCATTTAGTAACGGGTAACAGTTGGATCCAGGGACCACCACCAGCTGGAGTCCATGGATGCGATTCAAGGTGGATGGAGCCTGCCATTTATCTGAACAAGTAGATTGCTAAGGACCTGAACAGCCAGTGGGTAGGAGAGGCAATGGGACAGAAGGGATCGGGAGGGGCATGGATGGGGCGAGATGGAGTGGCCAAGGGAAAGGTGCGCGTCCCACGGACAATTGCGTTGGGCAGGCGAGGACAGAGGTGAGCCAGAAGGAGGAGGGGGAGGGGACACAGCACACAAGCCTCCATCTTCCTGACTTACTCACCTCTGGACTTACTCAGCCAGAATTCCTCTCAATCATGAGCACTCACTCAGGCTCGACTCGACCCTGACGCTCCTCCAGCACCTCCGGTGGTGGAAAGCGGAATCTCTCGCTGCTCCCGTTACAGACGCAGCCGTTCCCCCAGGAGAGTCATGGGCAGGCGGGAGAGGAAGGAGGGAACACAACACACAAGCCTCTTCCTGACTTACTCAGGCCCGACTCGATCCCGCTGCTCCTCCAGCACCTCCAGTAGTGGAAAGCGGAATCTCTCGCTGCTCCCGTTACAGGCACAGCCGTTCCCCCAGGAGAGTTATGGGCAGGCGGGAGAGGAAGGAGGGAACACAACACACAAACCTCTTCCTGACTTACTCAGGCCCGACTTGATCCCGCTGCTCCTCCAGCACCTCCGGTGGTGGAAAGCGGAATCTCTCGCTGCTCCCATTACAGGCACAGCCATTCCCCCAGGAGAGTCATGGGCAGGCAGGAGAGGGAGGGAACACAACACACAAGCCTCTTCCTGACTTACTCAGGCCCGACTCGATCCCGCTGCTCCTCCAGCACCTCCGGTGGTGGAAAGTGGAATCTCTCGTTGCTCCCGTTGCAAGCACAGCCATTCCCCGAGGAGAGTCATGAGCAGGCAGGAGAGGAAGGAGGTGAGCCAGAAGGAGAAGGAGGAGGGGACGCGCGTGTAGAGCAGGCAGAGCAGCGCGTGCAGCAGATGCACCGTGGCTGCAAAGTCAAGGCACTTCTTGGTTCGCTCCACCACTACTACCAAGTAAAAGGCGCTGTTGGATGGGAAGAGGAGAGGAAGAGGGGAGAGGGGGGGGGGGGGGGGGGGGGGGGGGGTTAAGGGGAGAGGATATGGAGAGGGGGGCGGAAGTCAAGGCACTTTTTGGTTCGCTCCACCACCACTACCAGGTAAAAGGCGCTGGTGGGCGGGGATGAACGGGATCAGGGGGGGGAGGGACGTATGGGGAGGGGATGTGGGGAGGGGGATGGGGAACCGAGCAGGCAGAGAGGTGCGTGTAGAGCAGGCAGAGCAGCGCGTGCAGCAGATGCACCGTGGCTGCAAAGTCGAAACACTACTTGGTTCGCTCCACCACTACTACCAGGTAAAAGGCGCTGTTGGATGGGGGAATGGGGAGAGGATGTGGGGAGAGGCAGGGGGAGAACATTCACACGCAGTTCACTCAAGGCCGATTCGGACGACATATTGCCACGTGGCCAATGCTTCCATCCAATTTCCCATCCACACCCCTACACCTACCCGTTCCAACCCTCCCCACCTTTCAGTCCCCCCATCTCCTCCGCAACATGCGGCATACCCTCCTATTTTTCCCCCACCACTCCTCCCTCTCCACTCCTCCCCCTCCACCACCTCCCCCGTAACTCTCCCCCCTTTCCGCGCACTCCTCCCGCGAACACTCACCCTACAAACGCGTTCGCCAGAAACGCGAATATGCAGCACCACCCGACGAAGCTGGACGGCGAAATCACGGAGTAGTCGAAGAAATACTTGAGCGTGAATCGCGGAACGTGCGACCCGACGAAGAGCCACAGGAAAACGCCGAGAGAGAGGTAGAATAACGACTGTAGACACGCGATCTGCGCTACGATGAGCCACGGATCCCAGACCATCGCTCCGTAAAACATGGCGACGACGCGGCGAGAAACGGCCTCCTGAAGGAGCTGTAGCGGCCGGATCCCGCGCCGCTTCGCCTTGCCGTCCGTGGTGGCTTCGGTGGTAACCACCTTGGCGGGCGTTAGCGACGGAATCGCCGCCGGTCGCGGCGGGAGGTGGTGTTTGGAATCGGAAGGTAACAAGGCAAGACGTAACGAGTTCCTACAATGTGAGGACCAGTTTATGATAACGGAAGAAGCACCCTTATGGCGATTAGGGAGCACCCAATTGGAGATCAGTGATCACTCGAACGCAATCAGGTGTCGCGCACATTGACCCTAGTTACGCTTTTGAAAGTTCTCAAAACCCTGTTGACAAGGCATCGTGGGCGCGTTGATGGTAGTTTAGCTGCCTCGTGCCCTGTGGCTGTGCCGCGGAAGGCGTGTCCACGGTGAATGGGTGGGATCTTCAGATGCTCGGTGCGCTGAAGCAGTAGATTCGGTAACCTTCACGTAACCTTCACGTATTTGTGGATTAGCACGGACAAAGATGCGAAACAAAGTCAAATACGATCATGGAGATTAGTTGCTTCCGAACCAGAAAATCCAGGAATCTGGGAAACTTTGGAACTAGGTCCCGGAAAAACTTCGAGACTAGATTGGATCTAAGGATTATTCGCTGGGTTCGTATTCCCCCTATTCTGATTTTGTTCCGTTTCTTTGCTGGGTAGTGTCAAGTACTCAATAGTGACAGTAAGTGACAAACGTTTTTAGCACCCACTAAACCCCCCTCAATCCAGAGTTCTTGTTGGGGTTGCCGCCGGACGGCTAGGGTTGCGGTTTGACAGGGAAATCCGTGTCAGAGAGGCTGAAGTCGGTTTAGTGTGGCGAACTGTGGTCAGCCGATCTAGTGTTTTAGATTAGCCTACATTTCAAAACTACACAATTACTTCCTCTGGTTGACTCGGTATTATTATAACATAATGAACTCAGAATGAACATCAGTTTCCGGTATTACACATCTTGAACCAAAACTGTACATATATAACCAGCAAATAAAGCCAACAACTGAAACAATCAAAGCTAGCTGGTGAGAACAATACAGATGCAACCGCATGGAATCTCTGTTGCGTCTGTATTGTTCCTACCACCATGAGCTCACCATAAACCCAGTGTTTTCCCCCAATCGCCCTGCCCCAAAAGCACCCTAAAAGAATTTAAAACCAGGGTCCCACGTAGATCATTGTTTTGCAGTTGATGCGAAACCCCCGTTTCTCATTGGTTAACGAGGTTGGAAACACGAAAAGGGGTGCAGCAAGGGATGCGAAGGGAACAGAATCGTTTGCTGTGTTCCAAACCTTCTAGGTATGGAAACAGGTTCGGAGCCGAAGCTACAGTGCTAGTGAAATGTCAAGAGTTGTCGAAAGTCTCATGTACCTGAAATTTGTTTTGCAATTGGAGCTGAGGCAAAAGTGGGGGATTCCTAGCCAACCAGTCCGCCTCGCCTAGAAAAACAAGGTAACTCAGTCTCAAATGTTTTGCAGTTGATGGCAGAATATCTTACTTGAGACCCTGGTTTTAAATAATCTAGGGTTACCGTATGAACCATTGGAGAGAGCCCCGTTCAAAGACCCGCAGGTTCATTCCAAGGGCCGCTGATGTACTTGCTAAAGGCGGCCGCAAATCCTCGGTTTTCCAGTTTTACGCTGAAAGCACCCATTGTCCCGTGTGCAGCAATGGGAGGGAGCGGTTTGCTGTCGTTGATTGAAGAGCAGTACCGCGCTCGCCTCTCAAAGCAGCGACAGCTCCTGGCGCGTTCGCGCTGGCTACTGCGACAGTGTAGATGGAATGCGACACGCTAGCGAATGCGACACTCGATGTTACTAACACGCTTCGTCGTGGCATTGCATCCTCAGTGAACGGATCACCACATACGTGGGAATAGCAACGGGACGCGGGGAAACACCAGATGTTACTAAATCCTTTTCGGCGCCAGAAAATCTGGCCTTACGC